GAGTGCAGGCACTGTACTTCCTCCTCCAGGACTCGAGTCTGGATAACAGGTTTGCCTGAATCTCTTCACAAAATATTTCTTCCTCTCACACTAACAGTTCATAAAATCCCATAAACTATTTGTCTCCACTCACTCCTATCTACAGTATACAGTATACTTTTAAATTATACACTACTGTACATGGATAATAAGTAAGCAAAGGCAATCTAAATACTGCTGTATTTTTTGACATCACTCGTGGCTCAAAGAATTTATCAGAGTACAAAGTATTCATCACAGAATTACAAATACGTAGTTTAAAAAAATCAGTCCAAACTTTAATAACAGATTTATTGCACTAAATATTCACATGATAATTCTTAAGGAGTGTGTTGGTGACATTACAGTGACAACAAAACTAAATGCTTCTAACCCAAATGTTTTCAAATCACAATATTATCAGCTAATATGTAGTTTTTTTTTTTTTTTTTTTTTTTTTCAACACACTGGCTGCCTCCCACTGAGGCAGGGTGACCTATAAAGAAAAACAGGTTTTCTTTTTTTACATATAGTTATTTATACAGGAGAAGGGGATACTAGCCCCTTGCTTCCGGCATTTTAGTCGCCTTTCATGACGCATGACTTATGGAGGAAAGATTCTCATAATGTTGAAAGTTATTAAACGGTATTGAATTAACCTCAGTGGTTGGCTTTTTAAAAAGTTAGTGAAGACAACTGTTCTTGATAATGATTTAATACATAAAATTACTACTACAGTAAATACTAATATTAGTAAAACGGAAGCCTGTAATTGTTTTACATGATGGTAGGATTGCTGGTGTCCATTTTTCTGTCTCATAAACATGCAAGGTTTCAGGTACGTCTTGCTACTTCTACTTACACTTTGGTCACACTACACATACATGTACAAGCATATACATGTATATATACACACCCCTCTGGGTTTTCTTCTATTTTCTTTCTAGTTCTTGTTCTTATTTATTTCCTCTTATCTCCATGGGGAAGTGGAACAGAATTCTTCCTCCGTAAGCCATGCGTGTCATATGAGGTGACTAAAATGCCGGGAGCAATGGGCTAGTAACCCCTTCTCCTGTAGACATTTACTAAAAAAGAGAAGAAGAAAAACTTTATAAAACTGGGATGCTTGAATGTGTGTGGATGTAGTGCGGATGACAAACAGATGATTGCTGATGTTATGAATGAAAAGAAGTTGGATGTCCTGGCCCAAAGCGAAACAAAGCTGAAGGGGGTAGGGGAGTTTCGGTGGGGGGAAATAAATGGAATTAAATCTGGAGTATCTGAGAGAGTTAGAGCAAAGGAAGGGGTAGCAGTAATATTGAAGGATCAGTTATGGAAGGAGAAAAGAGAATATGAATGTGTAAATTCAAGAATTATGTGGATTAAGGTAAAGGTTGGATGCGAAAAGTGGGTCATAATAAGCGTGTATGCACCTGGAGAAGGGAGGAATGTAGAGGAGAGAGAGAGATTTTGGGAGATGTTAAGTGAATGTATAGGAGCCTTTGAACCAAGTGAGAGAGTAATTGTGGTAGGGGACCTGAACACTAAAGTAGGAGAAACTTTTAGAGAGGGTGTGGTAGGTAAGTTTGGGGTGCCAGGTGTAAATGATAATGGGAGCCCTTTGACTGAACTTTGTATAGAAAGGGGTTTAGTTATAGGTAATTCATATTTTAAGAAAAAGAGGATAAATAAGTATACAAGATATGATGTAGGGCAAAATGACAGTAGTTTGTTGGATTATGTATTGGTAGATAAAAGACTGTTGAGTAGACTTCAGGATGTACATGTTTATAGAGGGGCCACAGATATATCAGATCACTTTCTAGTTTGTAGCTACACTGAGAGTAAAAGGTAGATGGGATACAAGGAGAATAGAAGCATCAGGGAAGAGAGAGGTGAAGGTTTATAAACTAAAAGAGGAGGCAGTTAGGGTAAGATATAAACAGCTATTGGAGGATAGATGGGCTAATGAGAGCATAGGGCAATGGGGTCGAAGAGGTATGGGGTAGGTTAAAAATGTAATGTTAGAGTGTTCAGCAGAAGTTTGTGGTTACAGGAAAGTGGGTGCGGGAGGGAAGAGGGGTGATTGGTGGAATGATGATGTAAAGAGAGTAGTAAGGGAGAAAAAGTTAGCATATGAGAAGTTTTTACAAAGTAGAAGTGAAGCAAGGAGGGAAGAGTATATGGAGAAAAAGAGAGAGGTTAAGAGAGTGGTGAATCAATGTAAAAAGAGAGCAAATGAGAGAGTGGGTGAGATGTTATCAGCAAATTTAGTTGAAAATAAGAAAAAGTTTTGGAGTGAGATTAACAAGTTAAGGAAGCCTAGAGAACAAATGGATTTGCCAGTTAAAAATAGGAGAGGAGAGTTATTAAATGGAGAGTTAGAGGTATTGGGAAGATGGAGGGAATATTTTGAGGAATTGTTAAATGTTGATGAAGATAGGGAAGCTGTGATTTCGTGTATAGGGCAAGGAGGAATAACATCTTGTAGGAGTGAGGAAGAGCCAGTTGTGAGTGTGGGGAAGTTCGTGAGGCAGTAGGTAAAATGAAAGGGGGTAAGGCAGCCAGGATTGATGGGATAAAGATAGAAATGTTACAAGCAGGTGGGGATATAGTTTTAGAGTGGTTGGTGCAATTATTTAATAAATGTATGGAAGAGGGTAAGGTACCTAGGGATTGGCAGAGAGCATGCATAGTTTCTTTGTATAAAGGCAAAGGGGACAAAAGAGAGTGCAAAAATTATAGGGGGATAATTCTGTTGAGTATACCTGGTAAAGTGTATGGTAGAGTTATTATTGAAAGAATTAAGAGTAAGACGGAGAATAGGATAGCAGATGAACAAGGAGGCTTTAGGAAAGGTTGGGGGTGTGTGGACCAGGTGTTTACAGTGAAACATATAAGTGAACAGTATTTAGATAAGGCTAAAGAGGTCTTTGTGGCATTTATGGTTTTGGAAAAGGCGTATGACAGGGTGGATAGGGGGCAATGTGGCAGATGTTGCAGGTGTATGGTATAGGAGGTAGGTTACTGAAAGCAGTGAAGAGTTTTTATGAGGATAGTGAGGGTCAAGTTAGAGTATGTAGGAAAGAGGGAAATTATTTCCCAGTAAAAGTAGGCCTTAGACAAGGATGTGTGATGTTACCGTGGTTGTTTAATATATTTATAGATGGGTTGTAAGAGAAGTAAATGCGAGGGTCTGGCAAGAGGCATGGAGTTAAAAGATAAAAGAATCACACCATAAAGTGGGAGTTGTCACAGTTGCTCTTTGCTGATGACACTGTGCTCTTGGGAGATTCTGAAGAGAAGTTGCAGAGATTGGTGGATGAATTTGGTAGGGTATGCAAAAGAAGAAAATTAAAAGTGAATACAGGAAAGAGTAAGGTTATGAGGATAAAAAGATTAGGTGATGAAAGATTGGATATCAGATTGGAAGGAGAGAGTATGGAGGAGGTGAATGTATTTAGATATTTGGGAGTGGACGTGTCAGCGGATGGGTCTATGAAAGATGAGGTGAATCATAAAAATTGATGAGGGGAAAAGGGTGAGTGGTGCACTTAGGAGTCTGTGGAGACAAAGAACTTTGTCCTTGGAGGCAAAGAGGGGAATGTATGAGAGTATAGTTTTACCAACGCTCTTATATGGGTGTGAAGCATGGGTGATGAATGTTGCAGCGAGGAGAAGGCTGGAGGCAGTGGAGATGTCATGTCTGAGGGCAATGTGTGGTGTGAATGTAGTGCAGAGAATTCGTAGTTTGGAAGTTAGGAGGAGGTGCGGGATTACCAAAACTGTTGTCCAGAGGGCTGAGGAAGGGTTGTTGAGGTGGTTCGGACATGTAGAGAGAATGGAGCGAAACAGAATGACTTCAAGAGTGTATCAATCTGTAGTGGAAGGAAGGCGGGGTAGGGGTTGGCCTAGGAAAGGTTGAAGGGAGGGGGAAAAGGAGGTTTTGTGTGCGAGGGGCTTGGACTTCCAGCAGGCATGCGTGAGCGTGTTTGATAGGAGTGAATGGAGACAAATGGTTTTTAATACTTGACGTGCTGTTGGAGTGTGAGCAAAGTAACATTTATGAAGGGGTTCAGGGAAACCGGCAGGCTGGACTTGAGTCCTGGAGATGGGAAGTACAGTGCCTGCACTCTGAAGGAGGGGTGTTAATGTTGCAGTTTAAAAACTGTAGTGTAAAGCACCCTTCTGGCAAGACAGTGATGGAGTGAATGATGGTGAAAGTTTTTCTTTTTCAGGCCACCCTGCCTTGGTGGGAATCGGCCAGTGTGATAATAATAATAAAAAATTACTTTCGTTTGTAATATTTAATGCAGATAATTTTGGCTGTTTAGTACAAAGTTGTTCACCTTAGGCATTGAGGAACTACCTCCGTGTTGACTGCTGCAACAACACATACTTCAACAGGGCAGATCTGGAAGAACACAGACTCACTCTTGTCCACCTTAAGGTAAACATTGACCCTTTTTGATTGTAATATGTTTGTATATGAGATAAGGCATTTGTATTAGTTTATTATTATTTAGTAAGCATGTACATAAAAATTACCAGAAATTCAGCTTAATTTAATTGATAAATAAGTAATTGAAAAATATACATTTAGATTTTAGACTTGAAAAATACAGTACATGTATGTACAGTATTATTTAAATAATTTCTTTTTGAAATATTAATAATCATTAGTTATATTAATGTTGGTAGAATAACTGACAATATGTTAGGTAAAAGGACACAAGTGCAGCTAATGAGACATTTTATTGTGGCAACGTTTCGCTCTCCAGGAGCAAAATGTTGCCACAGTAAAATACAGTTGCGGCTCGTTCATAGAAGCTGCATAGCTTCAGTTCCCCCAGATGCTTACTGCCAGACGTATGACTTCATCAACCTTATGCTAAAATAATTTGCAACTGTTGTATGTTGTTTCCATTGTATTTATAAGTGAGTTTTTAATTTTTTTGTTGAAACTAGATAAAAAACTATTCTAAATAGTAGTTTGATGCGATATGATAGTATAGATATTACTGGCATTACTAGCCACCACTTGTTGTATATTGTTTTCAATGTATTTACGTATAAGCAAATTTTTTAGTTTTTTTGTTGAAACAAGATAAAAAATTCTTAACCCTTTCACGGTACATGCCGTAGATCTACAGCTTTACGTTGAGGGTCCAAACTGTAGATCTACGCCATGAGCTCAGCTCACTTTGATAAGCTGTGAGCGGTAAATTTGGGCCTAGATATGAAAGAATACATCTATGTGATATGTGTGTACCACATAAAACAAATCCTGCAGCACACAGTGCATAATGAGAGAAAAAATCTGAGACCATAATTTTTATTAAAACAGCAACTTTGCAGTGTTTTTTCGTGTGTTTTTATAGTTGTATTTGCGATTTCTTGCTCTCATTTGATAGAATGGAAGATTTTTTTTTTTTTTTTTTTTTTTCAACAAGTCGGCCGTCTCCCACCGAGGCAGGGTGACCCAAAAAAGAAAGAAAATCCCCAAAAAGAAAAATACTTTCATCATCATTCAACACTTTCACCACACTCGCACATTATCACTGTTTTTGCAGAGGTGCTCAGAATACAACAGTCTAGAAGCATACACATATAAAGATACACAACATATCCCTCCAAACTGCCAATATCCCAAACCCCTCCTTTAAAGTGCATGCATTGTACTTCCCATTTCCAGGACTCAAGTCCGACTATATGAAAATAACCGGTTTCCCTGAATCCCTTCACTAAATATTACCCTGCTCACACTCCAACAGATCGTCAGGTCCCAAGTACCATTCGTCTCCATTCACTCCTATCTAACACGCTCACGCACGCCTGCTGGAAGTCCAAGCCCCTTACCCACAAAACCTCCTTTACCCCCTCTCTCCAACCCTTTCGAGGACGACCCCTACCCCGCCTTCCTTCCCTATAGATTTATATGCTTTCCATGTCATTCTACTTTGATCCATTCTCTCTAAATGACCAAACCACCTCAACAACCCCTCTTCTGCCCTCTGACTAATACTTTTATTAACTCCACACCTTCTCCTAATTTCCACACTCCGAATTTTCTGCATAATATTTACACCACACATTGCCCTTAAACAGGACATCTCCACTGCCTCCAACCGTTTCCTCGCTGCTGCATTTACCACCCAAGCTTCACACCCATATAAGAGTGTTGGTACTACTATACTTTCATACATTCCTTCTTTGCCTCCATAGATAACGTTTTTTGACTCCACATATACCTCAACGCACCACTCACCTTTTTTCCCTCATCAATTCTATGATTAACCTCATCCTTCATAAAAACCATCCGCCGACACGTCAACTCCCAAGTATCTGAAAACATTCACTTCTTCCATACTCCTCCTCCCCAATTTGATATCCAATTTTTCTTTATCTAAATCATTTGACACCCTCATCACCTTACTTTTTTCTATGTTCACTTTCAACTTTCTACCTTTACACACATTCCCAAACTCATCCACTAACCTTTGCAATTTTTCTTTAGAATCTCCCATAAGCACAGTATCATCAGCAAAAAGTAACTGTGTCAATTCCCATTTTGAATTTGATTCCCCATAATTTAATCCCACCCCTCTCCCAAACACCCTAGCATTTACTTCCTTAACAACCCCATCTATAAATATATTAAACAACCATGGTGACATTACACATCCCTGTCTAAGACCTACTTTTACCGGGAAATAGTCTCCCTCTCTTCTACACACCCTAACCTGAGCCTCACTATCTTCATAAAAACTCTTTACAGCATTTAATAACTTACCACCTATTCCATATACTTGCAACATCTGCCACATTGCTCCTCTATCCACTCTATCATATGCCTTTTCTAAATCCATAAATGCAATAAAAACTTCCCTACCTTTATCTAAATACTGTTCACATATATGCTTCAATGTAAACACTTGATCTACACATCCCCTACCCACTCTGAAACCTCCTTGCTCATCCGCAATCCTACATTCTGTCTTACCTCTAATTCTTTCAATTATAACCCTACCGTACACTTTTCCTGGTATACTCAGTAAGCTTATTCCTCTATAATTTTTACAGTCTCTTTTGTCCCCTTTCCCTTTATATAAAGGGACTATACATGCTCTCCGCCAATCCCTAGGTACCTTCCCCTCTTTCATACATTTATTAAACAAAAGTACCAACCACTCCAACACTATATATCCCCCCCTGCTTTTAACATTTCTGTCATGATCTCATCAGTACCAGCTGCTTTACCCCCTTTCATTTTACGTAATGCCTCACGTACCTCCCCCACACTTACATTCTGCTCTTCTTCACTCCTAAAAGATGGTATACCTCCCTGACCAGTGCATGAAATTACTGCCTCTGTTTCCTTCCTTAACATTTAAAAGTTCCTCAAAATATTCTCGCCATCTACCTAATACCTCCATCTCCCCATCTACTAACTCCCTACTCTGTTTTAACTGACAAATCCATATTTTCCCTTGGCTTTCTTAACTTGTTTAACTCACTCCAAAATTTTTTCTTATTTTCATTAAATTTCTTGACAGTGCCTCTCCCACTCTATCATCTGCTCTCCTTTTGCACTCTCTCACCACTCTCTTTACCTTTCTTTTACTCTCCATATATTCTGCTCTTCTTATAACACTTCTGCTTTGTAAAAACCTCTCATAAGCTACCTTTTTTCTCTTTTATCACACCCTTTACTTCATCATTCCACCAATCACTCCTCTTTCCTCCTGCACCCACCCTCCTATAACCACAAACTTCTGCCCCACATTCTAATACTGCATTTTTAAAACTATTCCAACCCTCTTCAACCCCCCCATTACTCATCTTTGCACTATCCCACCTTTCTGCCAATAGTCGCTTATATCTCACCCGAACTTCCTCCTCCCTTAGTTTATACACTTTCACCTCCCTCTTACTTGTTGTTTGCCACCTTCCTCTTTTCCCATCTACCTCTTACTCTAACTGTAGCTACAACTAAATAATGATCCGATATATCAGTTGCCCTCTATAAACATGTACATCCTGGAGCCTACCCATCAACCTTTTATCCACCAATACATAATCTAATAAACTACTTTCATTACGTGCTACATCATACCTTGTATATTTATTTATCCTCTTTTTCATAAAATATGTATTACTTATTACCAAATTTCTTTCTACACATAGCTCAATTAAAGGCTCCCCATTTACATTTACCCCTGGCACCCCAAATTTACCTACTACTCCCTCCATAACATTTTTACCCACTTTAGCATTGAAATCCCCAACCACCATTACTCTCACACTTGATTCAAAACTCCCCACGCATTCACTCAACATTTCCCAAAATCTCTCTCTCCTCTACACTTCTCTCTTCTCCAGGTGCATACACGCTTATTATAACCCACTTTTCACATCCAATCTTTATTTTTACTCCACATAATCCTTGAATTAATACATTTATAGTCCCTCTTTTCCTGCCATAGCTTATCCTTCAACATTATTGCTACTCCTTCTTTAGCTCTAACTCTATTTGAAACCCCTGACCTAATCCCATTTATTCCTCTCCACTGAAACTCTCCCACCCCCTTCAGCTTTGTTTCACTTAAAGCCAGGACATCCAGCTTCTTCTCATTCATAACATCCACAATCATCTCTTTCTTATCATCTGCACAACATCCACGCACATTCAGACTTCCCACTTTGACAATTTTCTTCTTCTTATTCTTTTTAGTAATCTTTACAGGAAAAGGGGTTACTAGCCCATTGTTCCCGGCATTTTAGTTGACTTTTACAACACGCATGGCTTACGGAGGAAAGATTCTTATTCCACTTCCCCATGGATATAAAAGGAAAATTAATAAGACCAAGAACTATTAAGATAAAATCAAAGAAAACTCAGATGAGTGTGTATAAATAAATGTGTACATGTATGTGTAGTGTGACCTAAGTGCAAGTAGAAGTAGCAAGACATGCCTGTAATCTTGCATATTTATGAGACAGACAAAAGACCTCAGCAATCCTACCATCATGTAAAACAATCACAGGCTTCGTTTTACACTCACTTGGCAGGACGGTAGTACCTCCCTGGGTGGTTGCTGTCTACCAACCTACTACCTATAAGAATGGAAGATATATTACAGAAATAGAGATGATTTTGATTGGTTTCATTACTGGAAATGGTTTGAAACTGAGCTGAAAGTAGCGGAAATGTTAAATTTTTGCTGATGTTCAAGAGTAAACAAATGACCTAACACATCTAATACACGCCAGCTGGTGGGTCTAATATACGTTCACAAATGTGGTGATATTATTTATACAATTATTACAATATTGCATAACAGTAAATCTTCTATTTTTTGGTTTGAATAAAAAATCAAAATGGAATTTATTTGTAAAGCCTGAGAACGTAACTAATGAAAAGAGGAAATGTTAGTTTAGTGCCACGAATGCCTGCATTGTTTATTCTGGACCCTATTTTGAAATTGGAGTAGTGTATTTTGAACTTTGCATTAAATTTACCAAATTACCAATTTCCAATCACTTTATTTTGTAGTTGAAACAGTTGACTTGGCGATTTCTTGTGCTCAATCGATAGAAGTAATACTAGTGAAATAGCTAAGAATTTGGTCGACTGGAATAATGTAATTGGCCTAAAATGGGGGTCAAAGTTGGCAAAATCGCCGATGCGTAAATATCGCTGACAGATCAAAATTTGCGAGAGCATAACTTGGTCAGTTTTCCATCAAATTTTGTACTTTTTGTTTTCTTATTTTCAGAAAAAGATTCTCTACCATTTCATAAGAAAAATAACAAAATTATTTTTTGAAAATTCTTGGACCCTGGTGCACACTTTGAAACTTGGCCTCTGGACCCTGAAAGGGTTAAAAATAGTAGTTTGATGTGGTACGATAGTATAGATATTACTGGCATTACAAGCCACCACTGATAAAATATCACATTAGTTGCACTTTCCCTTTTTCCCTAAGAACCATTATTTAAAGATATAAAGGGAAAGACAGTTGAGGGAGAGAGAAGGAGAGTACAAGCACCAAGGTGTTGGTTGTTAATTTTGTATACTATTAAGGTACAGCTGCAGCTGCACTATATTTGTAAGCGTAATGTTACTAGATAACCCATTTTACTTTAGGATATATTAAAAATGCATTATGTACCCTACTTGGATTATAAGTTTTCTTAGTGTCTGCTTCCTTGCAAAATTTGGGAAAGGAACATGGTTTGCATTTTTAGAGAATTCAGGTTTCATTGAATTTGTACTTAAAAACAGAATAAGTTGGAGCTTGAGCAGAAACAGAAGGAAGAAGAGGAGGAGGAGACAGAAGATGCTGGTGTTTCCGAGAATGGTGAGTTAAATTATGGTCAGGAAGTGTTGAGACACTGTACAAAGCTATATAATCAGGGGGTAAGGCAGCCGGGATTGATGGGATAAAGATAGAAATGTTAAAAGCAGGTGGGGATATAGTTTTGGAGTGGTTGGTGCAATTATTTAATAAATGTATGGAAGAGGGTAAGGTACCTAGGGATTGGCAGAGAGCATGCATAGTTCCTTTGTATAAAGGCAAAGGGGACAAAAGAGAGTGCAAAAATTATAGGGGGATAAGTCTGTTGAGTATACCTGGTAAAGTGTATGGTAGAGTTATTATTGAAAGAATTAAGAGTAAGACGGAGAATAGGATAGCAGATGAACAAGGAGGCTTTAGGAAAGGTAGGGGGTGTGTGGACCAGGTGTTTACAGTGAAACATATAAGTGAACAGTATTTAGATAAGGCTAAAGAGATCTTTGTGGCATTTATGGATTTGGAAAAGGCGTATGACAGGGTGGATAGGGGGGCAATGTGGCAGATGTTGCAGGTGTATGGTGTAGGAGGTAGGTTACTGAAAGCAGTGAAGAGTTTTTATGAGGATAGTGAGGCTCAAGTTAGAGTATGTAGGAAAGAGGGAAATTATTTCCCAGTAAAAGTAGGCCTTAGACAAGGATGTGTGATGTCACCGTGGTTGTTTAATATATTTATAGATGGGGTTGTAAGAGAAGTAAATGCGAGGGTCTTGGCAAAAGGCGTGGAGTTAAAAGATAAAGAATCACACATAAAGTGGGAGTTGTCACAGTTACTCTTTGCTGATGACACTGTGTTCTTGGGAGACTCTGAAGAGAAGTTGCAGAGATTGGTGGATGAATTTGGTAGGGTGTGCAAAAGAAGAAAATTAAAAGTGAATACAGGAAAGAGTAAGGTTATGAGGATAACAAAAAGATTAGGTGATGAAAGATTGGATATCAGATTGGAGGGAGAGAGTATGGAGGAGGTGAATGTATTCAGATATTTGGGAGTGGATGTGTCAGCGGATGGGTCTATGAAAGATGAGGTGAATCATAGAATTGATGAGGGGAAAAGGGTGAGTGGTGCACTTAGGAGTCTGTGGAGACAAAGAACTTTGTCCTTGGAGGCAAGGAGGGGAATGTATGAGAGTATAGTTTTACCAACATTCTTGTATGGGTGTGAAGCATGGGTGATGAATGTTGCAGCGAGGAGAAGGCTGGAGGCAGTGGAGATGTCATGTCTGAGGGAAAATGTGTGTGTGAATATAATGCAGAGAATTCGTAGTTTGGAAGTTAGGAGGAGGTGCGGGATTACCGAAACTGTTGTCCAGAGGGCTGAGGAAGGGTTGTTGAGGTGGTTTGGACATATAGAGAGAATGGAGCGAAACAGAGTGACTTCAAGAGTGTATCAGTCTGTAGTGGAAGGAAGGCGGAGTAGGGGTCAGCCTAGGAAAGGTTGGAGGGAGGGGGTAAAGGAGGTTTTGTGTGCGAGGGGCTTGGACTTCCAGCAGGCATGCGTGAGCGTGTTTGATAGGAGTGAATGGAGACAAATGGTTTTTAATACTTGATGTGCTGTTGGAGTGTGAGCAAAGTAACATTTATGAAGGGGTTCAGGGAAACCGGCAGGCCGGACTTGAGTCCTGGAGATGGGAAGTACAGTGCCTGCACTCTGAAGGAGGGGTGTTAATGTTGCAGTTCAAAAACTGTAGTGTGAAGCACCCTTCTGGCAAGACAGTGATGGAGTGAATGATGGTGAAAGTTTTTCTTTTTCAGGCCACCCTGCCTTGGTGGGAATCGGCCAGTGTGATAATAAAAAATAATAATTTGTATATTTGCAACATTGTGATTAAATAGGCAATTTTGCTTATAGTTTTTTATATAATCATGTTTTTTTATATTTTATTCTACAGAGGAAGGGAAGTTATTTGCTAAAGCTATAGCTCAGTTGAAGAAAAGTCCAGCTGCAGTAGTGACTGATGCAGAAACACTGATGCCTTACAACCCCTCCATACCTCGAGGTAAGTTGAGATGCTGTTACCAAAGAGGTATCGGCTGTGAAGCCTGTGTAAAGGTTATTATTGACCCTTAAGTACATAACGTTGAACCTTCCCTAAGTCACCAGCACGCAGAAAAGGTTTTTTTTTTTTTTATAATTTGCATTGGATATCAATAGGAATTTTTTTTTTTTTATCATGCACACTAGGCTTGAGACTTAACCATTGAGGTGGGGATGATCCAAGTACCTACTGCTTAATGCCTCGGTTAAAAATAAGTGCCTTCTCATTCTTCCTCCCTTTCATCCATATACAGTAAAACTTGGGTTATATTCTGATACATATCATGTATGTAGGAATTTTACAGGTAGAATATAAGTCTGAAAATGCATTACTGAATGTTTATTCAGATTTCTCAGGTAAGGTACATTGTCATTTTCATTGATTTATAAAGGAATTTGCAAAAATAACAATGAAAAAAATCTCCATGGGGAAGTGGAATAGAATTCTTTTTCCGTAAGCCATGCGTGATGTAAGAGGCAACTAAAATGCCGGGAGCAAAGGGCTAGTAATCCCTTCTCCTGTATGCATTACTAAATTTAAAAAGAGAAACTTTTGTGTTTTTAGGTCACCCTGCCTTAGTGGGATACAGCTGGTCTGTTGAAAAAAAAAATGAAAAATAGAGTAATTACAAATAGTAGGAACTCCATAATTATAGAGATGTACTTTTGAGTATTGTGGGAGTTAGATTTGAAACATCTTTTTTCAGGCTTAAACTTCATTCAGGTGAAAGCACACTACCGGTGCGAAGTGTGCCCCCAGGCTCGGTTGCACACTGCTGAAGAAACTGTAGAACACTTCAAATCTCTCGAGCATTACAACAATTTGAAGAATCATCTTAACAAATTAGAGGTTAGCTGGCATGAAATGAACCTTTCTGCTGTGAGTGGATATGTTAGAATGCTTTGCTTCAAAGGATCGTTTGTACTGGTGATGTCTGTGCACTTCTGGCAAGAAAGCTAATAAATTGTTTGATGGTGTATGTTTTCTCCTTTGGGCAACTCAACTTTGCTAGGAAATGTCTGATGTATTAAAAAACAAATGGCACTTTGTCCTGTTGACAGCAGCTAGTTGTTTCCTTCAGCATTAAAAGTTTTGTTCTGCATAAATTCATAAGTTGAGTATTGTTGTAAAAATGAGCATTGTGAAGCACAACTTCAAGTGGAAGTGTGCACTTGTTTACACAAATAACCTGCACATAGAAGAGAGAAGCTTACAACACATTTCAGTCCAACTTGGACCATTTACAGGTTGGTCTGAAACATTGTAAATTTCTCTCTCCTGTGTGCTGGTTATTGGTGTGTTGTTCCAGTCGTGGTATTTTGCCTTTTTGTTCTTTTTGTACACTGTTTAATTTAGTTATCTTTCTACATAATGCATGATGAAAATTTAGTGTTTATAAAAGTTGGTAAACGTATGCAGTATTGTGGAGCAGTGGTCTCTTTAATTTACTTCTGGTGAGCTCATGTGAGCATGTTAGAAGTGAATGGAAATGAGTGGTTTTTAATGGACATGCTGTTGGAGTGTGAGCAAGGTAGCTTTTATGGAGGGATTCTGGGAAACCAGATAGCCAGACTTTGGTCCTTGAGATGGGAAGAGCAGTGCCTGAACTCTGGAGGAGGGGTAAGGATATTGCAGTCAGAGGGTGATCTGACTGTGATGTCATCCTACTTCTAGGAAGACAGAATGAATGATGGTGGATGTGTTTTCATCTTTGTGTCAGCTGCCTTGGCAGGAGATGGCCACTGAGTTAAAAAAAAAAAGAGGGCTAAACATTATTAATTACATATGTTAACACTTATTCTATTAACATTTTATTCTATTCTTATCCAGGAGGAGAAAGAGCTTGAGAAAAAGAGACTTGAAGAGGAAGCTGAAAAGGCAGAAATAGAGAAAAAGAAACAAGAGGAGGAAGCAAGGAAGAGGGAAGAGGAATCTGAAGCAAAGAAGAAGAATGGGGAACAGGATGAAGGGGAGGAGATCAGTTTCGAGGACATGCACAACATGGAAACAGTAGACGAAGCCTCGGATGATGGAGATATGGAAACTGGTGGCAAAGTCAATCATGGAGCAGCTGAGGATGAAGAAATACAGAGTGGTGAGGATTTTGAGGAAGATGATGAAGAGGGAGAGGGTGAGGAAGACGATTATGAAGAGGGCGAGGGTGAAGAGGAGGAAGAGGACGAGGATGAGGAAGACAATGAAGTGGAGCAGGAGCAGCCAGAAAGCTGTGTGAGTTACTTAGTGATAGTTTCCCCAATGATTTGAATGGGTTGTTGAGACATGATTTCATTTTTATAAAAATTTTAAATTTAGTTTATTTTCTCACTAAAGCATTATTCAACATAGTTTCCTTAAATATTTCCATATGCACTATGTATTTTCATGTACAAGTACTATTGTGACTTTCTGGTTGTTAAAGGGTGAAGATGAGAATGAGGCCTCAGTATTACTGAAGGATCATTCAAAAGAGAAAATTGAATCAGAAGCTGAAGAGGAAGATTGTCGGTAAGTAGGGAAGTTCCTGACATTTTGAGAGTTTTCTTAAGTTTCTGAATTTTTTGGGAACATTCTTATTAGTATTATCACATTAATATTGTTTGGCCTTTCTTTTATATTTACAAATTAACTTGTCTGCCTAATGCTATTATATTCCTGAATGTTGCTGCTTGTTTCAGTGCTGATACTCTGACATTTCACATACTATATCAAACTATAAAAACTATTGAAAAAAGAATCAGTTTTGTTCATGTCAAATGTATAGCAGGTCACAGTTGTCAAAACATGTCATTTCAGTCAAGTATTGTGATAAAGTGAGTTCTACCTCTAATATTTACCAATATATATAAAGTAATTAGTATAATTCAACATGGCTAAAGTGCTATACTTGCAAATAGGATGACTTAAAATTATGTACGTACTTGAGGAATGACCTTGGGCAACAAGTATTGTCTGGTCCATGCAAGAACTTTTATTTAAAAGTTTAAAATTAGTGGTGTGCAAGACAGTTTTCATGAACAGTTTTTATAGTTATTATATACTCTGCAGCATGAAGGAAGAACCATCAAAAAAGACAGAAGAAACTGAAACAGTAAAGTCAGAAGCTGGAAAAAAAGCAGTAGGGAAGGTGCAGGAGCCAGTGGTGAAGGACGACGACATGCCCAGTGAGGATAAGACAAAGATAGAAGTGACTTCTCCCCAAGGCAGGAGGGGTAGAGGGAGGGGCCGGGGACGAGCTGCCAAGAAATAAGGCAAGACTGTTTGCCCTTAATGTAGACCTGTTTACAATTATAGCAGTCAGTAATGTGCTAGCAGACAGTTACAGGAAAGTAAATTTTGAAGATAGAATTAGGGCTAGTTACTTTAAATAGTTTGGAAAATATGGAAGTTTGTGTTTAGCATCATAATGCTGATCACCATTTGTCATGTCAGATTTTATATTGGACTATTTTATGTAGGCTTTTTTAGCATTTATGGTTTCATATATTTTATGTTGATAAAGCTTAAAGCAAACATATTAATCTGGCTGTTGTAGGTGAATCTGATGAATCCAGCAATTATTTGTGTAGCTCAACTAATGATTTTAGTGTCATAAATTGTAAAGAATGCAATCCCCCAAGATGGAGATATGACTAAAGGCTTTTAGTGATAATTGAATTATGTATGTGATTGTAGTAGCTATGAAGCTTTCACTATTTCATTTGTACAAAATATTTTGCAAGTATAATTGAGTTTTTTTATACACGGCTATCACAAACAGAGGGAAAGTAAACATATTCACCATCACTCATTCTGTTAATAGCTGTATTGCCAGAAGTGTATGACAGATCATGTGACCCAAAGTGCAACATCACTATTTCTTCTGAGCGCTGACACTACTTACCATCCCCAGGACTTGAGTCCTGCTAACCAGTTTCCTAGAATCCTAGTATAGATGTTACCTTGCTCATATTCCAACAGCATGTCAAGTTATAATAGCCACTTGTCTCCTCTCCAATATAATACTCACACAAACTTTTTGTGTGCTCAAGCCTCAACACTCAAAACCTCTTAGCCACTCCCTCCAACCTCTCCTAGGACAAACCCTACCCCTCCTTTCACCCCAAATTTATGCACCCTTCTGTTTATCTTAATTTGCTCCCTCTCTAAATGCACAAACTACCTTAACAACCCCTCCTCAGTCCTTTGAATTATACTCTCAGCAACTACACTTTCACTGGTACTCTTAATATTCTGCATTATATTCTCACTATACATTGCTCTTAAACATGGCAGCCCCACTCTCTCCAGCTTTCTCCTTGCTGCCATGTTTGAAGTCCACTGATGCAGGGAAATGACAGTAGTAAAGCTTTATTTTCAATACTTAGTCCAGTGCTCCATAAGCTCCAGGTTAGTCAGTATCTTACAGTGACGTACGGTGGTTATTGCCACGGGGTGTGCACTGTACTACCATACTGAACCTACTACTCTGGCATAAGTATTACTCGAAAATATACATACAGTATTTCATAACAGATGACAAAAATTAGTTTCCCCACTGTGATCCATGATTATATTATTGAGTGAGCTTAATATTTATGATGAATCTACATCTTTGGTGGGTGTGCAGCACTCACCTAGCACACCCAGGATATACAACCCTGGTATCTAAGGCTCTAAGCCAGCGTATTGTCAGTTTTTTCCTGTATGTCATGTTATATTTCTGTATTTTATTGACTGGTAAATCCTAATGAGAAATAAAAGTTTCCACTATTCGAAAAGTTTGTGATTTAACCTAATACAGTATGGGGAAACACTGGTTGAGTGTATTGCAGAAATGGGAAATTAAAGCCTGTGTACAAGGCTTGAATTGTACTGTTGTGATTGACCATGCATTTGCATCAATGATGGATTTTTTTTAATTCAGTACACTTGTAATATACAGCTCTATTCTACATAATAGTTACATTGTAAGAACCTTAAAGGGAAAGGGGTTTTTTTTGATGTTAGTGAAGGGCTCATGATCCTAGGAATTTGAGCTCTCCCTTGCCTTTCAAGGGAGGTTCCTTGATACCAGTAAGGGGGCTTATGATCCAAGGAGTTGGACCTTCCCTTCTCCTGGATCAAATCTGATTGCTTATTTCTCCAGGCACTATGTGACACCCTAATGGCATCACATGTTCTTCATGAATGTAACAAAAAAGAAAGTTCCATAGGTGTTCAGCACTTGCTGAAAATTATAATTTGAGAATGCTAATTGACACTTCAGTCTATTGTTTTGCATTCACATGTTACCTCAGCATCAAGGGCTCTTGATCCAAGGAACTGGATTTATCTTCCCCTTGGGACCTGATGAAAATAATCAAAATAAATATGAAAAATTTGTGTCTGTACAAAAACAAAATCTGTAATGTGTCTAGATAATGCATCAAGAGTGATGCCTTGATCCTTGTGAAGGGTTCTTGATTCATGGAGTTTGAGCTTTTCTCTTCCTCAGATCAATGATCTGAGAAAGATATTGTGAGCCTAGCCTCTTCTCCCTTGATAATCTGAGAGATATTGTGAACCAAGTTGCACCTCTCGCAACCCTTGTGGGTTTAGTGCTTAGTTATGATTATAATAATTCTTTACCTCAATGATCTGAGAGTTCTCATAAGCCTAGCCTCGAAACCATGCACTTCGGGGCTTGATACCTCTCACTATCACCCCAGTGCTCTGACCAGTGTAGTCTGCAAGGTGATGGAATGATTGGTGAACAGACGTCTGATATGGTATTTGGAGACTTGCAATAGTCTCTCTCCTCGCCAACATGGCTTTCGCAAGGGCCGCTCTACTTTGAACCCCTTGCTCCACATAGATACATGTGTGTGAAATGCCTTTGTTAATAAACACTCCATCCAAGCAGTCTTCTTTGATCTCGAGAAGGAATATGACACCACTTGGAGGTATAACATCTTAGCCCAGGCCCAATCCTTAGGCCTCCGCAGTAATCTACCGACCTTCCTTGCTGCTTTATCTGAAAGACACTTTTATGTCCATGTTGGTGCCTTGCTCTCCTCAGATTTTGCTCAGGCCGAGGGATTCCCACAAGGTTGTGTCCTTAGCACTCCTTTTTCTCTTGGCTATAAATGACCTACCTTCCATTCTTCCATTGCATATCTGGTCATCACTTTATATGGATGACTTCACTATAGTTTACGCAGGTGCTGACTGTCGACTGGTAGTGGTCTCTTTTCAGATGCAATTGACCGTGTTTCCCATTGGGTCACTTCTCGTGGATTTAAATTTTCTAGTGCGAAAACCCATTTCATTACCTTCGCTAGGTGTCCTCTTGTCCCTGATATTCCATTATATTTACACTTCTCATGTATTTCAGGATGTGATATGGTCAAGTTTCTTGGTCTTCTATTCAATCGCTGGTTGACATGGAAACCTCATATTTCCTCTTTGAAGGCAGCTTGCCATGGTCAGCTGAATCTCCTTAAAATTCTTGAGCGTTCTACCCTCGTCTAGTCCAAGCTGGATTATGAAAACCAAGTCTATTCTGCGGCTTCTCCTACAACTCTTTCTAAGTTAGATCCGCTTCATCATCACGGTCTACATTTATACCTTGGTGCCTTTTGTTTATCCCCTGTTGAAAGCAAATTGCACTGTTAAACTGCTTTTAGGTTTGTGGCAATCTTCAAAGGACCCCAATGGAAATAAGTCACTTTGACTTTTTCGGGTTATCCTAGGTTCTCTACACATATGCTGCTATGTATGATAATCTCTGTAATTGTATTTATGTACACCTGAATGAACTTACTACCCTCCTCTACCTTAATGATCTGAAAGATCTCATGAGCCCAGTCCGAATTAAGCCTGAATGCTTTCCATTCCACCCCTTCCACCATCACAGGCGCTATATAATCGCTATGGGTTTAGCGCTCCCCCATAATCATGAGCTCAGTCCCTCTACGTCAATGATCTGAGTTAGATCTCATGATCCCAGCCTCTTATGGTGATTGATTCTTTCAAGCTCTTGATTCAGCATCCCCTCAAGGAAGGTTCCTTGATGTTGGTGAGGGGCTCTTGATTTGGGGAATTGGATCTGTGCTCCAGTTCCCCGAATTAAGCCTGAACGCCTTCCACATCCCCCCCCCCAGGCGCTGTATAATCCTCTGGGTTAGCGCTTCCCCCTTGATTATAATAATAATAATTGATTCAGCATGCTTGTCCCCCATCCCCCAGGCACAGTATGAACCCTGCAAGTTTAGCACTTCCAATATTTATTTTTAGGATTTTTATATGCAAGAAAAGGGAGTCAAACTGTAATTGGGACACAATGTTGCTAAATTTTTTAGTATGTTAGTGAAGTAAGATAATGAGGGTAATTTATCGTGTAATTTGACTATGTTCAACTTAATGGATATAGAATGATACATATTTATATTTAAGGTCCCTGAACGGTTATTGATAAAATAGTTAATTATATAACAAAAGAAAGAAGGAATACTGTAGCAGGCCTACTGGTCCATGCAAGGCAGGTCCAAGTCACCTACCGGCTTATGAGACACTGACCCAACCTAGTCAGGTGACATTCACTTAAGGAAGGAGCACGCCATCAGACTTACTAGCACAAGCTAGTCAGGTCCAACTCACATCCACTCTTATATTTATCTAACCTATTTTTAAAATTACACAACATTTTAGCTTCTATGATGGTACTCAGGAGTTTGCTCCACTCATCCACGACTTTATTACCGAACCAGTGCTTTCCCATATCCTTCCTGAATCTGAATTTTTCCAACTTGAAGCCATTGCTGCGAGTCTTGTCATGGCTAGATATTTTTAGCATGCTATTTACATCCCCTTTATTTATTCCTGTTTTCCATTTATACACCTCAATCACATCCCTCCTAATTCTATGCCTTTCTAGAGAGTACAGATTCAGGGCCCTCAGTCTATCCTCATAGGGAAGATTTCTGATGAAGAATTGAGACACTTATGCGACATACGGGAATCTTTATTGAAGAAACGTTTTGCCACACAGTGGCTTCATACGTCTTATATAAAGCAGGAAGGCATAAGGAGAGGAGGAGTTTGAGGTAATTGGTCCCTCAGCCTGGAGTCGATGTGTTCAGTCCATCAATCTTGTAGAAAGTACAGCACAGGTCTTCATCCAAAGATTGGACATCTGTCAGACACTGCATCATCATGGGATCTTGACACAATGAATTCTTCAAACTTGTCCAATCTTTGGACAAAGACCTACGTAGACTAGTGGATGGCTCCACTATGACCCCGCCTCCTGCTTCGCCTCACCTGACTACAGTATATAAGCCACGTCTACGACCCTGTGCTGTACTTTCTACAAGATTGATGGACTAAACACATCGACTCCAGGCTGAGGGACTGATTACCTCAAACTCTCCCTCTCCTTATACCTTCCTGCCTTATATTGGACTGATGAAGCCACTGTGTGGCGAAACGTTTCTTCAATAAAGATTCCCATATGTTGCATAAGTGTCTCAGTTCTTCAACTTGTCGGTTTTCAAAACCATTCATCACACAAGATTTCTGCTAAATGGGATCAACTCTGTCATCCTCCTTTATACGTTTTCCAGAGCATTTAGTATATCCATTCTGTAATACGGTGACCAAAACTGTGTAGCATAATCTAAATGAGGCCTAACCAAGGATATACAGAGTTGAAGAACAACCTGAGGACCTCTATTATTTATACTTCTAGATATGATGCTAAGGATTCTGTTAATTGTATTGCGAACATTTATGCACTGTTGTCTTGGTTTTACATTACTGCTAACCAGAACTAAATCCTTTTTGCAATCAGTAGCATTAAGATCTACATTATTTAGTTTATATGTGGCATGATTATTTTAAGAACATAAGGAACACTGCAGTAGGCCTGTTGGCCCATACTAGGCAGGTACTTCACACATCCACCCCACTAATAGAATAAACGTTACTCAAGCAATAAGCTTTGATAATTCTATTTACTCACGTGGAAGTCCCACTCAAATCCAACCCCTCTCACTCATGTATTTATCCAACCTAAATTCGAAACTATCCAAGGTTTTAGCTTCGATAACCCGACTTAACATTTAGAACTTTGCATTTGTGTTTATTAAACTGCATCTGCAACTTCTCCGATCACTGGATCAGTCTATTTAAATCAAACCATACCACCGGCGGGGTTAGAACCCACGACCAGAGTCTTAAAACTCCAGACCGTGGGTTCCATCCCCACCCGTGGTATGGTTTGTTTGCAATAGTGTCATTACGATTTCGTGAGTCTATTTAAATCATCCTGGAAAGCTCTAATGGCCTCATTAGAATGAATTGGACGGCCTATTTTGATGTCATCAGCAAATTTGCTTATGTCGCTATTTATTCCCTCATTTATGTCGTTTATGTAAATTGTGAACAAATGTTTTAATAATTTCCTATACTGTTAAAAAGAAATTAAATATAATTTAAATAGAAATCAATAAAATATTGGAAAAATAATATTAAGTACACAAATAACCCCGTACATTATATTAAATAATTTATTGGAAAAAAAATGAACTTGTATACGTCACTAGTAATATTTTATCAAATTTTATAAATAAAAAAATAGTTTTTATAAGCATAAATCGAAATTTGATTTTTTTTGTGAATGTCAATTGCATTAATTACTCGCAGGAATTGTTGTATATATGTTTATTAGGAATAAATTTACATATTTTTTATTATTATAATTATATAATAATAAATGTCTAAATTATCTTCAATAACCCAATAAAACGTTACACGAAATTAATTATTTTCATTAGGTGTCCTTTGGCGAAATGTATCATATACTTTAATTATCTAAGTATTTATAAAATTAGTAAATAACTGATTAATTACAAGTGTTGATCCAAGGAAAAGGATGAATAACAAGGGAATATTAATGTAGATAAGATAGATAGCGTGGGTCGTGAGGAGCAGCAGACATTGTTGTTACTGTTTCCATAACTCTTACTCCTTATATTCTCTTGTATTACTCTTATACTCGCTCCTCCTCTTATCTACTCTCACTCTCTGTCTACCTGGATCATCTACGCGTCTACCTGAGGATATATAATAGTTATATAAGTTATATTACAGGTGAGTTGAGTTTTAGTAGCGGGGGACGGGGTCTTGGGAGGTGTGGAAAAATATACTACAAATGTAGTATAATGTTATCTTATATTGACCATCTCCCGTCAAGGGAGGTTCCTTGATGCTGGTGAGGGGCTCTTGATCCACGTTATTGGATCTCTGCTCCAGTTTCCTGAACTGAGCCTGAATACTTTCCATCCCCCCACAGGGACTTATATTCCTACGGGTTTAGCGGTCCCCCATGATTATAAGAGCAGTATTGACTACGTTTGGCCCACACATTAGGCTTCTGAAATACTCATAAAGATGGTTATATCTACGACCGTAAGTTTTTGAAGGGGTGGAGGGGTAAGCCAGCGGAAGGCCTCGGTCAGATGACCAAAGGCTCCAACGGCGAGTCATCTAAGACCCGTGTCAGGAAACACTTGTCCTGTTTCCTGACGAATCTGACCTAACCTAACCATTAGGCTTCTTCAGTCACATACAGAGGGAGTAGTAGTAATTAAATAAAGATGATATAATCAGTCCATCAACCTCCAGGCTGAACCTTAATATTTTATTCTCTGAGTCCCCTTCAAGAGGGCTCCTTGCTGTTGGGAGGGCTCTTGATTCAGGGAATTGGAGATCTCATCTCCTTCCTTGGATCGAAACTGATTACTTCCTATTCCCCAAGAAGTATGGCCCATAAAGGTTTAATGCTTCCCATGACTATTTGCATTGTTTATATATTGTATATTGAAATGTGTGCTTTTCTGTGCGTGCTTATCTGTAACCCAGTATTACTGTGTATTGTATGCCAGTATTACTGTGTATTGTATGCCAGTATTACTGTGTATTGTATGCCAGTATTACTGTGTATTGTATGCCAGTATTACTGTGTATTGTATGCCAGTATTACTGTGTATTGTATGCCAGTATTACTGTGTATTGTAGCAGTATTACGGTGTATCCAGTATTACTGTGTATTGTATGCCAGTATTACTGTGTATTGTATGCCAGTATTACTGTGTATTGTATGCCAGTATTACTGTGTATTGTATGCCAGTATTACTGTGTATTGTATGCCAGTATTACTGTGTATTGTATGCCAGTATTACTGTGTATTGTATGCCAGTATTACTGTGTATTGTATGCCAGTATTACTGTGTATTGTATGCCAGTATTACTGTAGTATATTGTATGCCAGTATTACTGTGTATTGTATGCCAGTATTACTGTGTATTGTATGCCAGTATTACTGTTTACCTGGAGTTTACCTGGAGAGAGTTCCGGGGGTCAACGCCCCCGCGGCCCGGTCTGAGACCAGGCCTCCTGGTGGATCAGAGCCTGATCAACCAGGCTGTTGCTGCTGGCTGCACGCAAACCAACATACGAGCCACAGCCCGGCTGATCCGGAACTGACTTTAGGTGCTTGTCCAGTGCCAGCTTGAAGACTGCCAGGGGTCTGTTGGTAATCCCCCTTATGTATGCCAGTATTACTGTGTATTGTATGCCAGTATTACTGTGTATTGTATGCCAGTATTACTGTGTATTGTATGCCAGTATTACTGTGTATTGTATGCCAGTATTACTGTGTATTGTATGCCAGTATTACTGTGTATTGTATGCCAGTATTACTGTGTATTGTATGCCAGTATTACTGTGTATTGTATGCCAGTATTACTGTGTATTGTATGCCAGTATTACTGTGTATTGTATGCCAGTATTACTGTGTATTGTATGCCAGTATTACTGTGTATTGTATGCCAGTATTACTGTGTATTGTATGCCAGTATTACTGTGTATTGTATGCCAGTATTACTGTGTATTGTATGCCAGTATTACTGTGTATTGTATGCCAGTATTACTGTGTATTGTATGCCAGTATTACTGTGTATTGTATGCCAGTATTACTGTGTATTGTATGCCAGTATTACTGTGTATTGTATGCCAGTATTACTGTGTATTGTATGCCAGTATTACTGTGTATTGTATGCCAGTATTACTGTGTATTGTATGCCAGTATTACTGTGTATTGTATGCCTGCAGTACTGTGTATTGTATGCCTGCAGTACTGTGTATTGTATGCCTGCAGTGCTGTGTATTGTATACCTGCAGTGCTGTGTATTGTATGCCTGCAGTGCTGTGTATTGTATGCCTGAAGTGCTGTGTATTGTATGCCTGAAGTGCTGTGTATTGTATGCCTGAAGTGCTGTGTATTGTATGCCTGCAGTGCTGTGTATTGTATGCCTGCAGTGCTGTATATTGTATGCCTGAAGTGCTGTGTATTGTATGCCTGAAGTGCTGTGTATTGTATACCTGCAGTGCTGTGTATTGTATGCCTGCAGTGCTGTATATTGTATGCCTGAAGTGCTGTGTATTGTATGCCTGCAGTACTGTGTATTGTATACCTGCAGTGATGTGTATTGTATGCCTGAAGTGCTGTGTATTGTATGCCTGCAGTGCTGTGTATTGTATGCCTGCAGTGCTGTGTATTGTATGCCTGCAGTGCTGTGTATTGTATGCCTGCAGTGCTGTGTATTGTATGCCTGCAGTGCTGTGTATTGTATGCCTGCAGTACTGTGTATTGTATGCCTGCAGTGCTGTGTATTGTATGCCTGCAGTACTGTGTATTGTATACCTGCAGTGCTGTGCATGGTGTACCTACAGTGTTGTGTATTTTCTACCTTCAGGATTCTATGTATATACCTGGAGGTTATTCCGGGGATCAACGCCCCCGCGGCCCGGTCCATGACCAGGCCTCCCGATGGATCAGGGCCTGATCAACTAGGCTGTTACTGCTGGCCGCACGCAGTCCAACATACGAGCCACAGCCCGGCTGATCCGGCACTGACTTTAGGTATCTGTCCAGCTCTCTCTTGAAGGCAGCCAGGGGTTTATTGGCAATTCCCCTAATGCTTGATGGGAGGCTGTTGAACAGTCTTGGGCCCTGGACACTTATGGTGTTTTCCCTTAGTGTACCAATGGCACCCTTACTTTTTATTGGGGGCATTTTGCATCGCCTGCCCAGTCTTTTACTTTCATCGGGAGTGATTTCTGTGTGCAGATTTGGGACCATTCTGACTTGACTCACGAAATCGTAATGAGACACGATTGCAAACAAACCATACCCCGGCCGGGATTGAACCCGCGGTCAGAGAGTCGGGCTGGAGTTTTGAGACTCTGACTGTGGGTTCAATCCCGGCCGGGGTATGGTTTGGGACCATTCCTTCCAGGATTTTCCAAAGGGGAGTATGACTCAAGAGTCGGTGGTAACAGCAATCGTTACAGGTAGACTTCTCTGTTTTTATTACTATCTACTATATATTTGGTGTTCTGGCATTTTATTTCAAATACTGTACTATATACATGTACATGTATATATGAATGATAGTTTTAGTACAGTACTTGTGATAATGGTGTGCTTGCTGTGCTGTCTTGTTTGTCTGCAGTGCTTTTGCAAGTTGTTGAAGAGATCTTGATCCAGGGAATCGAAGCTACAATTCCCATCCTTGTATGAAGCCTGACTTTCCTTTCTCCAGGCACTGTTTGAATCCTACGACATTAGTATTTCCTCATGAATACGATAATCTTCGCATGCACCGTACCCATGTCTTAATTTTGCTCATTTTTCAGGATGCCAGGATATTATGACAAAGGAGAGTATGACTCAAGAGTCGGTGGTGGTGGTAACAGCAATCGTTACAGGTAGACTTCTCTGTTTTTATTACTATCTACTGTATATTTGGTGTTCTGGCATTTCATTTCAAATACTGTACTATATATATGAATGATAGTTTTAGTACAGTACTTGTGAGCTGTGTTTTATAGTAACTTATTTTACAGCGTTTCAGTAAATTTAACTCTGACCTGTTTAATTCTTAGAGGAAGAGGCCGAGGGCATGGCAACTATAGCTGGGGAAGCAGCAGAGGTAGCAGCACTAGTGGAGGTGGTGGGAGGGATTACAACCATGGTGGTAGCAACTACAACAGTGGGAGATATCGTGGAGGTGGAGGACATGGTGCTTCTGGAGGCTACAGAGAGTCTGGGGGACATGACAGGCAAGTTGTCTGGATTATGTAATGCTCTTGAAGCTGGTTTAGCATTCTTCCTAGATACTGCATGCAATTTAGCAATTGACTGGCAGTTAAAGTATGTAATAATGTTGGTAGAATTACCGATAATATGTAAAGTAAAAGGACACAAGTTCAACTAATGTGACATTTTTATTGTAGCAACGTTTCGCTCTCCAGGAGCTTTGTCAAGCCATTACGGCTTGACAAAGCTCCTGGAGAGCAAAACGTTGCCACAATAAAAATGTCACATTAGTTGCACTTGTGTCCTTGTACTTTACACAGTTAAAGTATACGGTGATCATACTGTATATTTTCTTCTTTCATCAGACTGGCCTGTTTCCCACCATAACAGGTGGCCCAAAAAGAGAAAAAAAAGTTTCTCTTTTTAACTTCAGTAATGTATACAGGAGAAGGGGTTACTATATATTTTGTTGCTCTTAAAATTTAATTTACAGTAACTGCATTCAAAAATTTGGATGTAGTCTAGCCTGAAACTGCTCTGAGCATCTGATTACAGGTTTTATTTGTATATAGCTGCAAACAATTTAAGGCAAGTTATCATAGAGTATGTAATGGTGATTTTCATTTTATCCTGCTATAGTGGAAAATATATTACCCAGGACTAAAAATTTTCAGATACGGGGATACCAGAAGGTCGAGTGCACAAATGGAAGTATGGGACGACATGGGATCCAGGGAGACATCCGGTGGTGGTGGTGGTTATTCATCTCGCATGTCCAATGCTGGTGCATCCGGTGGGATGGGTGGAGGGGGCACATCAGATCTGATTGGCTCCCTCAGCCAACTAAGTCAAATGGGAAGCGATAGATCAAAGCTGGCCATGAATATCTTAAATGCTGTTTTGTCTACAGTAAGTTGGCCATCCTAAATCAGCTGGGCCCTTTTCTATTTATTAATTTACTAACCTATTCACTGAAGTTAAAACCTAAGGACACACTGTGCAGCGCTTATTAAAAAATAATTTTACAAAATTGCAATTTGAGAGTGCAGTAAATTTCACAAATTGTAAGCCTGTTTCACTACCTCAATACATTACTGCTACTTAGCAACATTTCCAGTCTAGTCAGTGGTCCAACTTGGACTGAAAAGTCATTATTATCTTCTTTCTCCTGTGTTAGGTTATTTGTGTATTGTTCCAGTCACTATCATGCCTTTTGTTCTTTATTTCCAGCCTACTTTATATTTGATTTTCATTTTTCTCAACATTTAATGTTTTAGGTAGCTAGAAGAGCCATTTTCCCCCATAACTGTCTTGATACTGGTAGTTACTGGTTGTCAATTACTGTATATACCATGTCAAAAATTGTAGGCCTTTTGTGAATAGTCCTACTAATTAGATAGCATGGTTGGTATGAAGAAATTGCCATATACAAAGTATTGTATTGGGAAATGGGGTAATGCTAATAAACAGTAGCTACAGAATTGACAGATGTACATGTATTAGTAATGTGTAATGACTGGCACTGAACACTATATTAAATGGCAAGGCATTTAATTATGGGCAGTTTGGAGGGATATGTTGTGTATCTTTATACGTATATGCTTCTAAACTGTTGTATTCTGAGCACCTCTGCAAAAACAGTGATAATGTGTGAGTGTGGTGAAAGTGTTGAATGATGATGAAAATATTTTCTTTTTGGGGATTTTCTTTCTTTTTTGGGTCACCCTGCCTCGGTGGGAGACGGCCAACTTGTTGAAAAAAAAAAATAGCAACAATGAAGTTTATTTTCAGATATAATTTATGTTCATGTTAGTACTACTTGTACTCTTCTGTAGCAGTTCACACGTTAAAATGGCGAGTAATAATTTACCATACATACCCATGTTTAGGTCAAGATTTTATGACCAAATTTTTAAGCATAAATTTGAGGGTCAAGATATTTATGGATTCTACTTTTGAAAGGTTGAGGGAGGGAGGGAGAAAGGAGACAGAGAGGAAGACAAGGAGGGTGGCTAATAATGCATAATGGATATTGTTTTGTTTAATTATTTTCCTTCTGAAAAGTAAATACTGTACTACCATACCTTGCTTCAAGTTTTAGATTATTTAGGTAGTATTTGGTTGTTTTCAATATTGTAGTACTGTATTTTTTCATATAGTGTTAATATTGTGTATCATTTCAGGATTCATCAGTGGCTGAGAGCCATGATAGTTGGGAAAATGGTCCACCCAGGAAGATGAGACGTATGGATTGGGTACGTATGTGAATTATTACAAAATTTGGGTACCCCAAGCCTATGATGGTTTTATTTCAACTTTAGAATTGTGGTATGAAAACTCAAATGGTATTGCATATTTTTACAAAGTATTGAAGTGACGTTGACTGAAGTTTTATTTTATGTACTTTTAGTTCCACACTACTTTAGAAGCTTTCTAGATATTTGGCAGTTCTTTATCATCAATTTTGATAAAATTTAGCTCATTCTACTCTTGATCTGCTGGTTTCTGAACATGAAATAGGATGGCTTAAGCATAATCCTCATTATCATGATGATCGTGGTACTGTAGTAAATTAAAGTATATTTTTGTGCTTTATAGTATTCTTTCAATGCACTGGCCATATCCCACCGCTTTATAGTATCATTTTCTTATATTCTTTAGAAAATGGAAAAAATTCATGATATTAGTTAAAATATTTAAATTTGTTGATTTAGGTTGATGTGGAACCTTGTAGTAATGAAAGGTGTTCATTAGTTTGCTGATTTGAAGGTTAACAAGTAACACAAATGAAATTAGGGCAGAAAATATGCATACCTGCTGAGGTTACATATAAACATTCATAAGTTAGCATAACATAACTGATGCTATGTAGATAAAACATTGTGGCTTAAGATCAATCATTATTATTGTTTTGTAATTTTTAGAAGATAATTAGATATGGACAAGTTCATTTAATTCATTCTGAATGTAGATATTAGCAAAATTTAAATGGTTCACTGGCGTTAGGTGCAGGAGGGGAAGGTGGGATGCATAGGTGAGGGGTAGGTGGTATAGAAATAGTTTGTTAGTTGCTCTCCTATCATCATCACTTTGTATGGAGAGACTTGTGGTGTGGTACCTGTAGTGTAAGAAGTGGGAAGAAAAAATTACCTTCAGTAATCCATGGAGGGGAATTTTTGTATGACAAAATAATGAAAAGTAAAATTCTTGCATATCATGTAATTATTTTTACAATGAGGAAAGTCATTACAATATTACAAAGTTTGCATGTAAGCTAACACTTGACTTTACCTGGTGATGCATTGTGAATCCTCGGTTTGAAAGAAGCGAGGTACATGCCCGTGCATGATACATTTCATGCAAATTCCTGATCTTGTGACCACAGACTCCTGAAGCAAAGAAAATAGTTTGCTGATTATAATAAGAAACAATTATTTTATGATAAAAGAACCATGAAACTTTTTCTGCAGTCTGTGTTGAGCAGGTGATCTGAGTACTGTACTTGGGTACTAGAACTGTCTTCAGTAAAACATTTAACTTCAAAAAGCACTGTACACCACCTCGTGAGCTTTTCTTATACAGGTGCACTATTATATAAATATGTGATTGCCAGGTGCTGGTCTCTTGACTTAAGTCTGCCAGTAATGAAGTGTGTGGCTCAGGGTACACACAGGTGAGATACTGTAAGCAGGTGCTTAATGGCATGCCAGTTAATCACTGGCAACGGTTGCCTTTTATTGACCACTTGTACATTTCACAAATTAAATTAATATGTTCTTGTTTATGTTCAGATGAATCACGGTGGTATAACATGCTACATAGTGGTAGGTTATTTTAACCTTCCTCTCAAGATGACATTATCATCAGCACCATTTGACATATGGATGAAAGCACTATATCTGCTCCACATGGAGAAGATTTTGATATTTACAATTGAAAAGTTTCCACCAAATTACTAGGTCAATATCTCAAGCTTCAAGTTGGGGATGATCTTGCAGATTAATAATTATTGGCATCCCTGTGTCACAGTATTGAAGTGCTTTACAGTATTAGTGATCTTCTCTTGCCCGAAAGTTTTAGGGTAAGCTGGTGCTGTGGTGATTGTCCCACATTATATACCTTTACTGCTGGTCCTAGGCCCACCCAGAAATTACCCACATTGGTCTGCCGAGGTCAGATACTGCCTCGTGCTAACATGGGATTCCATCCCTTGGATAACCTCTGCTTAAAGCAGACAGTTTGCCGAGGGGTAACTGAGTGGTGAGTGTCTTCCACAGGATGGAATGCATCCACCACCTGCGCGCAGGTATCCCTCGCGTGTCCGTCGCTACAGCCCTCGGCGGACCTGGGTACCCCGTGGCCGAGGTGGCCGCCCCTACTTCCCCGCTGAACAGCATGCTGGGAATGAGTACCAGTCCAGGAAGGTGGCAAGGGCCCGGCGTGGTAAGCCCTGGCATGATACCAGGAATAGTAAGGGCCCTGCCAAGGACCAGAAGGTGAAGGATGAGGGAAAATCATCTGATGACCCAGAGGGGGACACTGCTGATGCAGAGGATGCAGCTGATGCCAGCCAGAGGTAAGCTGCCTACATTTACCTCTGTTACACCTGTGCCTCACGGAACTTCCGTGACAGAGACTTGCCTCTCTGTGGGTGTGGGGAAAAGGGCTGGGATTTTATCTTTCAGGCAATTCCCAGTTAAAAAAAGTGGTGTGCTGCTGGAACTTCCTTGTAGCTTTCCATCAGGTGATGTATTTACATATTCCATATTAATTCTGTAAGGATATACAGTAGTGTATTACTGTAATGAATGACTATTTTATACATGTGATAATTAGGTTATAATACTCCCAAGTTTAGTTACAATGTGATTAGATGCATGGCTTGTGGCATTCTGTGGGTGGAACAGTTGACTTGGGTCATTCATGTGATATTAAAGGACATAATTATTATATAAAATCAGAGTAGTATTGACATAGTTTACTTTTACCGTACAGTGTAGCAAAATTATTTAGTTTATATAAAATTCTTTGACAAGTGCTTTAGGTATTCTCAAAATTTTTAATGCAGGAGTATTTGAAGTGTTAGGGAAGTACTGCATATGACTGACTGGCTTGAGACTGGAGAATATGTAGGGGTAAAACAAACCAAGATATTGGTTAAGTAGATAATTTTACTTTCTGTTAGTGAAGCCACACTGAATGTTAAGAATGTTGCTGAGTGTGGTTGAAGAGTGTGTTTCAGAAATCGTATGAATTTACTAGTGGCATTGTTCTTTACAGGTACAGTACTGTACAACCATGTACAAATCCTGTTGCTTTATGCACATAGGACATTAAAACGTGTGATGACGTTTCAGTCCTCTGTGACTTGTTAATGGTCCAAGTGGAACAAAATGTCATCGTACATTTGTTTGGTATATGCGGGTTGTGTGTGTGTGTTCACACAATCACTTGCACCCTTCCTGAGGGACACAGACATTATTAGTAATAAAGGCAAAATATTCTTGACCCCTACACCTCTTTCCTAGATTTATATGCCTTCCTGCTATATGACCCTTGTGGGTTTAGTGCTTAGTTTTGATAATAGTGTAGTATATGCCCTCCTAGTTGTCCTATTTTGCTCCATCCTGGTTTTTGTATTTTTTTAAAATGGCACTGTTTTGCTAGGTCCCCTCTCCCTCCCCATTACTACTACTACTACTGCAGATTACATTGCTGAAGTATAAGATGCCTGTTGCTCTGAAATTAGGCAGTTGATAAGTCTTCAACATGCACATGCATGTACACACAGCTTAGCTTAAAACCCATAAGCCTTTTTCAGTTTTTTTTATTTGCCATTTGTTTTGTTTTATTTTTCTTGTTGTATTTATTGTTTCTATAGACCTGATTTGATTAGAAGAAATCTCTTGCCTTACAAGATGTTTTTGGAGCCTTTGTTGAAACTGCAGTACTTTCTATGTTCATGTATTTGGTGATTAATAAAGGGATAAAATCATTATTGGCTGTTAGTGACATCTAAACTGTCATGTGTGGGCACCTCTGCAAAGACAGTGATTATGTGTGAATGATGGTGAAAGTTTCTTTTTTGGGTCACCCTGCCTCAATGGGAGATTGCCGGCGTGTTGTAAAAAATCATTAACGCTTGATAAGTTGAATGTTGTATTAGTTGTAGATATTTAAAATAATGGTGAAAGAGTGAGGACTCCTGGTTTTACACCTCTGTAACTGCAATTTAAGCAGTTAAAGTTACTACCTGTTGACAGGCTTTTTATGAACGGGTAAGTAGCAGTAATTAGTGAATGAAGTGGTGTTTATGGGCTAATGAAAAATAGAGAGATTGATTAGAAAGTAGTGAATGAAAATGAAAGTTCCCAATTGTTGACTAGTAGTAATAATCTCTCGGAATGCTTAATTATACCAGTTTCCGCCACCTCCTTGTGTGCATTAGTTTTAACATGGTGTGTGAGGAAGTGTTCAGATATTTACTGAGCTTACCAGTCTTCCACCATCTGGTAAAAGGTTGTATGTTCATTAATATTAATGAGGGTTGCAAGAAAATGTTCACATTCAGGATTGCTAATGAGTAAATTGCTATTATATTGTAAGGATTTGTGAGGTACAATTTTATAAACCTGGCTCTCAGATATCAGCTGTCAGTTTATTAATTGTTTGAGTAAAATTGAAAGTCCATATCAGTTGATTATTCGTGAAGTTATGGGCACCACCATGTGGTTCATGATGTATATTTAGTTACATTGGTGGAGGTTGGACTTCAGCCCAGTTTTAGTAAGTAAATGTTAGGAAAGCAAACATATATACTTGCAAGTGAACTAAGAGACTTGTCATTAACAGTGAGACTGAGAAGGTGGTAAAGGCAAAGGTAGATGAAGCAACTGGTGAGGAAGCAGAGGGTGATGAAGATGATGATACAGAGAAGAAAGATAAGGAAAAACAGGTGAGTGAAGGGATGCCTTGTACATTCTTTGTCTTGGATGTGGTAAAGTTGTTATTAACCCTTTGACTGTTTCCGACGTATAAATACGTCTTACGAGCCAATGTTTCTGACGTATTTATACGCATAAATTCTAGCAGCTTCAAATCAAGCAGGAGAAAGCTGGTAGGCCCACATGTGAGAGAATGGGTCTCCATGGTCAGTGTGCACCATATAAAAAAAATCGGGGAGCCAGTGGTGCATTGTGGGAATGCCATTTCAGTTGTCATTTTTCAGCATGTCTAGCGGTAAGAAATATGTGATTCCCCAGCAAATCTGGGACTCTTCTCTTCCCAAGTGATGCTCTAACACAGATGGAAGTGTCAGTGAAGATCAATTTCATGATTTGGAGGAGTTTGAGACCAAAAGCAATGGAGGGAGGAGGGGGGGAGGGGAGGAAGAGGAGGAGGAGGAGGAGGGAAGGAAGGAGGAGGAGGAGGAGGAGGAGGAGGAGGAGAGAAGAGGAGGAGGAGGAGGAGGAAGAAGATGATGTAATAATATTGTTCCCTTGAAGCAAGAAAAAAAAAAGTCCACCCCATGACAGTGACAAGATAAGGGGAGATAACATCTGATAAGAGCTGACTTTGATGAGGGTAAAGGAGGGTAATATTACATGACCATTGCCCTCCCTTTGTTTTTGCTGGTACACAAACATTTCTGTCTGTCTATTTGTCTGTCTGTCAAGCTCCCTGTCTGTCCATCTAGCTCTCTGTCTCAGAGAGAGCCACAAGACTGTGTCATCACGTTTACTCACATCTTCAAGCAGAGTATAGCACTTTGTCTGGATTTCTTGGGTTATCCTAGGTAATTTACACTATGTATACTTGTATTTATGTGTACCTGTGAGACAGAGATAGGCAGACAGATAGAAAGAGAGACAGATTGAAAGATATAAAATGAGGGAGAAAGATAATTAGATAGAATGGAGGAGGGGAAGCAGCATCCGACCCCATTGTTTTGACAGGCGGTAGGGTAGTGACTAATGACACAATATGTCACTTTGACAGCTGCCGACTCCTGACTCAAAACAATTATAAGCCACACACTTGCACACAAGGAGGAGGAGGAGGAAGAGAGAAGAAGAGGAGAGGAAGAAGAAGAAGAGGAGGAAGAAGAAGAGGAGGAGGAAGAAGAAGAAGAGGAGGAAGAGGAGGGAGGAGAGGAGGAGGGAGGAGGAGGAGAGAGAGGAGGAAGAGGAGGAGGAAGAGGAGGAGGAAGAGGAGGAAGAGGAGGAGGAAGAGGAGGAGGAAGAGGAGGAGGAAGAGGAGGAGGAAGAGGAGGAGGAGGAGGAAGAGGAAGAGGAAGAGGAAGAGGAAGAAGAAGAAGAATTGTTTGTTTGTTTTTGTAAACAAGTTTTGTAAACAATATATTGATAATTATGTTTGTGTGCTTGTTGTGTTGTATACAAGGAGTGTATATATATACATTGCACCTTACTTTGGTCTCATAGGCCACATAAGTTATGTGAAAAAATAAAATAGTGAAAAAAACAAAAAACCTTCAATTACAAGTAAACTAAAGTTTACCGGGTGAGCGGCAGTCGCCGCTGTTGCCATACGCGGCTCATTTTCTGCAAACTTCATGGCTCTATATCTCGGTAAGTACCGATGGCAAAAATTTTTTTTTTGGACTAAAACACTCAGAAAAATAATCTTAACATTTTCATAAGAAAAAATAATTTTTTTTTTTTTTGAATATTTGGCGACATAGAATGACAGTTTCAGAGAGGGACCTGAAACAGTCAAAGGGTTAACTATTTGTAATTGAGGGAAAGCTATGCTTGCAGTGTCACATCTTCAGTGTTTGTCGTATTAGTTTGGAGTTGCAAGTTTGTAATACACAGTACATCTTGGTATTCATTCCAACAATGTTATGATATTCATGAAGAAATATGTCAGTGAGACAAGATTACAGATCAAAGTCTTCCCTTTTGTCTTGTATAAATATCAGCAACACTTTGCCATTTTTCCAGCTCTCTATCAGTTTAATGTTTACAATGATTCAATGAACTTGTAGTATAGAATGCAATCATTTTACATATTTTTTGAATAACTAGTGATACTTCATTTGATGCTATTTTTGTTTTTAACTGGTGGTAAAAACATTTTTCTTTGGGTAATTTAAGGTTTATTACATCTTCACTTGCACATTTCCACTTCTGATTTGCCATTTTTTGTTCTTTACCCTTTTTTTTTTTTTTTTTTTTTTTTTTTTTCTTTTTAGTCTGTTATAAAGTGTAATGTGATACTGTTCAGATATGTTCTTGTTTATTTTATATGCTTTAGTATTTCTTCTTACATTGGTATACTAATTTCTAACTTGTTTAATTTTGTAATTTTTGGGGTTGGGGGGTTGGGCTTTGTGTTGGTATCAAGTTTTTCATGATCATGGCATTACCACGTTTCCTGTTAAACCATTCTTTGTCATTCAATTTATTAATTTACTTTCTTTGAATGCTACTTTGTTTAGCTAATCCTGTTCTCCATCCCCAAAGGCATGGTGACTCAAAAAAGAAAACCTTATGAAGCTTTTTTTTTTTTTTTATTATTTATTATTATCACACTGGCCGATTCCCACCAAGGCAGGGTGGCCCGAAAAAGAAAAACTTTCACCATCATTCACTCCATCACTGTCTTTCCAGAAGGGTGCTTTACACAACAGTTTTTAAGCTGCAACTTTAACACCCCTCCTTCAGAGTGCAGACACTGTACTTCCCATCTCCGGCCTGCCGGTTTCCCTGAACCCCTTCATAAATGTTACTTTGCTCACACTCCAACAGCACGTCAAGTATTAAAAACCATTCGTCTCCATTCACTCCTATCAAACACGCTCACGCATGCCTGCTGGAAGTCCAAGCCCCTCGCACACAAAACCTCCTTTACCCCCTCCCTCCAACCTTTCCTAGGCTGACCCCTACCCCGCCTTCCTTCCACTACAGACTGATACACTCTTGAAGTCACTCTTTCGTTCCATTCTCTCCACATGTCCGAACCACCTCAACAACCCTTCATCAGCCCTCTGGACAACAGTTTTGGTAATCCCGCACCTCCTCCTAACTTCCAAACTACGAATTCTCTGCATTATATTCACACCACACATTGCCCTCAGACACGACATCTCCACTGCCTCCAGCCTTCTCTTCGCTGCAACATTCATCACCCATGCTTCACACCCATATAAGAGCGTTGGTAAAACTATACTCTCACACATTCCCCTCTTTGCCTCCAAGGACAAAGTTCTTTGTCTCCACAGACTCCTAAGTGCACCACTCACCCTTTTCCCCTCATCAATTCTATGATTCACCTCATCATTCATAGACCCATCTGCTGACACGTCCACTCCCAAATATCTGAATACATTCACCTCCTACATACTCTCCCTCCAATCTGATATCCAATCTTTCATCACCTAATCTTTTTGTTATCCTCATAACCTTGCTCTTTCCTGTATTCACTTTTAATTTTCTTCTTTTGCACACCCTACCAAATTCACCCACCAATCTCTGCAACTTCTCTTCAGAATCTCCCAAGAGCACAGTGTCATCAGCAAAGAGCAACTGTGACAACTCCCACTTTGTGTGATTCTTTATCTTTTAACTCCACGCCTCTTGCCAAACCCTCTCATTTACTTCTCTTACAACCCCATCTATAAATATATTAAACAACCACGGTGACATCACACATCCTTGTCTAAGGCCTACTTTTACTGGGAAATAATTTCCCTCTTTCCTACATACTCTATCTTGAGCCTCACTATCCTCGTAAAAACTCTTCACTGCTTTCAGTAACCTACCTCCTACACCATACACCTGCAACATCTGCCATCTGCCACATTGCCCCCCTATCCACCCTGTCATACGCCTTTTCCAAATCCATAAATGCCACAAAGACCTCTTTAGCCTTATCTAAATACTGTTCACTTATATGTTTCACTGTAAACACCTGGTCCACACACCCCGTACCTTTCCTAAAGCCTCCTTGTTCATCTGCTATCCTATTCTCCGTCTTACTCTTAATTCTTTCAATAATAACTCTACCATACACTTTACCAGGTATACTCAACAGACTTATCCCCCTATGATTTTTGCACTCTCTTTTGTCCCCTTTGCCTTTATACAAAGGAACTATGCATGCTCTCTGCCAATCCCTAGGTACCTTACCCTCTTCCATACATTTATTAAATAATTGCACCAACCACTCCAAAACTATATCCCCACCTGCTTTTAACATTTCTATCTTTATCCCATCAATCCCGGCTGCCTTACCCCCTTTCATTTTGCCTACTGCCTCACGAACTTCCCCCACACTCACAACTGGCTCTTCCTCACTCCTACAAGATGTTATTTCTCCTTTCCTTTACAAGATGTTATTTCTCTCTTTTCTTTTTATATTTAGTAATTCATACAGAAAAAGGGGTAACTAGCCCCTTTCTCCCTATCACATTAAAAAAAAATTTCAACATGCTGTCCATCTACCAAGGCAGGGTTACCCCCAAAAAAAAAAAATGCTTTCACCACCATTCACAACTAATGACTGTCTTTGCAGAGGCATGCAGATATGACAGTTCAGATGTCACTCCAGAACTGTCCTGTCTGCATGCCTCTGCAAAGACAATGATTATATGTGAATAATAATGGTGATTTTTTTTTTGGGGGGGGAAGGGGGGAGAGGGCATGCTGCCTCGGTAGGAGATGGCTAGTGTGTTGGAAAAAAAAAAAATAATCAGTACCAATATCTTTATATTTGATAAAAGTTTTCACTGTACAGGTTTAATATTTTAATTCCAGTGTTACATTTATTTGGATGCTTGATATATACTTTGTTTCACCCGTACAGTATAAAGCAATTTTTATGCCTTATTGTATATGAAAATAAAGATGGTTTGCGAAATTAACACGAGCATGTTTTGTCAGTGTGATGATGAGATCACTTGGCTACCCAGGGAGGCTCTCCGCTGCCACATGTGCAACCTCAACAAGTTCCCCGACTTGAAGGTAAGTCTGGTAATGAGAGTAATTTAGCTGTGAAGACTAGGATGTGCTCTTATCAAATCAGTTATTATATTATTGTTTCATAGTCATAGTGCACTTTCCATTTATTATGCATTACTTTTTCATTGCATTTATTTACTCAATTCATGCTTAAATTTATGTTGATTCTCTAAATTTATTATTTTTGCTGCTTTAATGACACATTCTTGGACAAAAATATGATATTAATAGGAAAGAGATGTATATTTCAGTTTACATCAGAGAGTAGATTAAGACCAAAATATACGAATTGTTCTTACCTTAAATAACAAAAAGGTACAATACCGTGACTGGAACAATACACAAATAACCAGCTTTTCTCTCCCATTTGCGGGTTGTTTATTGTTCTTGTTTCATAGCTATCAAAGCTGGTTTCTCATAAATAAAAAAAGGCACAATACCGTGACTGGAACAATACACAAATAACCCGCACATAGAAGAGAGTAGATTACAACCATGTGTCAGTCGGACTTGGACCATTGACAAAGTGACTTTGTAAATGGTCCAAATCAGACTGAAGCGTCGTCGTAAGCTCCTCTCTTCTATGTCCGGGTTATTTGGGTATTGGTTTTTCATTTTGCATTGATAAATATTAAACGCTTAGGAAAGTCAGTATGTTTAGTATGGTAACACTTTTTTTTTTTTTTTTTTTTTTGAAGAGTTAATTAAATAACTAATTTTTTGTATTGGTCGTAGGCATATTTGCGGCACCTGGAAAGCAAAAAGCATGAAAATATGAAATATTCATTCCATGCCAAGGGTGCTGCCATTCTGCATTTCCTGAGGGCCGAGTCTAAGGTAATATTTTAAATTATGCAGTTTTCTTACTGTTGAAGAGTTTTGGTTTATACCACTTTTGTGAATATTTTACATGAACTTGCTTAACCCTTTGACTGTTTTGGTCGTATATATACATCTTACGAGCCAGTGTTTCAGACGTATATATACTCAATAATTCTAGCGGCTTCAAATCAAGCGGAAGAAAGCTGGTAGGCCCACAGGTGAGAGAATGGGTCTGTGTGGTCAGCATGCACCACATAAAAAAAATCCTGCAGCACACAGTGCATAATGAGAAAAAAAAAATGATAGTTTTTTTGGATTAAAACGCCGACTTTGAGGTGTATTTTCGTATAGTATTTATCGATGTATTTGCGTTTTCATGGTCTTAGGTGATAAAATGGAAAACATATTACAGAAATAGAGATGATTTTCATTACTTTGACAATGAAAACGACCTTGAAACTGAGCTCAAAGTAACGGAAATGTTCGATTTTTACCAATGTTCAGGAGTAAACAAATCACACCACACGTCCAATACACATCAACTGGGGAGTCTAATATTCTTTCACTAGTGCACTGATATTATTTATACCATTTTTACAATAATGCAGTAGTCTGCATAACAGTAAATTTTGTATTTTTTTGTATGAATAAAAAAATCAAAATAGAAAGCAATAATAATATAAGAGGGGTCTAGAGATGTGACTAATGAACAGAGGATATGTTATTTTAGTGCCAAGAATGTCTACATTGTTTATTCTAGGCCCTATTTTGAAACTGGCATCTTTTTTAGTTTGCGTGAAATTGGCCCAAATTGCCAATTTCTGACCACAAATTGGTAGTCCAAATTGGTAAATGGGAGGTTTCTTGACTCAGCTGATAGATAAAATGGAGTTCTAATAGAAATAGCTATGATTTTTGGTCAACTGGAACAAACAAGGCTGAAAATAGGGCTCAAAGTCGGCGAAATCGCCGATACGCATTGTGCACGAGGACCGCTAACTTCGCGGAGCGTAAATTCCTCGAGTTTTCGAAAATATTTCGAACTTCTGGTTGTCATTACCATCGGGAAAAGATTCTCTATCATTTCATAAGGAAAAAAAGTAATATTTTTTTTTAAAATTTAGCGAATGAATGACGTTTCAGAAAGGGGCCCTGAAAGTCAAAGGGTTAATGTAATTGGTTTTACTTAATGTAATGTAAATTATCTTTAAAATTTATTTTTAACCGTCAAACGGTCCAAGCAGATCCACGTTACTGTGTAGTGCTACAAAAGTAGATCTACATTTTTTTTACATATTTTCAAATAAAAAAAAGAAAAAGTAGATCAAAGTTTTTTCAACATTTCAAAGATAGAAAAAACAAAGAAGATCTACTTTTTTTTACAAATCTTTCAAATGTTGAAAAAACGTAAATATTCTGGACGTTTACGGGTTAAACAGCTATAAAATTTTTATATATTATTTGAACCTAAAGCCTTCAAACAGTAGGCAGTTTTTTTTTTTTTTTTTTTTTTTTAAAGTAATCGGCACTGTTCTACCGCAGGAGCGGTACCCAAAAAAGAAAGAAAATCCCTAAAAGAAAATACTTCATCATCATTTCAACACTTTCACACAACTCGCACATAAATCACTGTTTTTTGCAGAGGTGCTCAGAATACAACAAGTCTAGAAAGCATAGATACATATAAAATACACAAATAATACCTCCAAACTGCCAATATCCTAAACCCCTCCTTTAAAGTGCAGGCATTGTACTTCCCATTTCCAGGACTCAAGTCCGACTATAGGCAGTTAGGTTCATAAAAATGTGCTAATCATTTAAAGATGTAATGAAAATTGATTAATATGTAACTTACGTTCATCATCTGGAAATACTACAGTTAGCCTCACAGCGGAGAATGTTGAAGAGTCAGAGACGGGGTATTAAGGGCCCTGTGATGCGCTGCCGCAAGTGTCAGTGTGATGTCTTTGGTTACATCAGAGAACACGCCAAGACTGTAGAGCACATTGTGAGTTGACTTCTTTCTTAATTCTAAGCAGTCAGTGTTGATCATTTACATTGAAGATGTAAAGTTACTGTAGGAGAGGAATAAGAGATGTAAGTGATGAAACAAGGGATACCAGGAAAAAATTGTGCAGAGGATGAAAAGGATAGAGGTGTATGAAAGAAAAATGAGTAATTTAGCACAGATGTATGTATGTACATTATACAGTGGGAAGTGTTTGCTAGATACATGAGCAATTACATTTTGGAAGGAGTATCATTCGTGGGAATATTTAATGTGCGATAAATAATGGTAAGTGGTGTAATTATTATGCAGAGAATTTGGAGCATAGAAATCAGAAGATGGTGTGGGGTATACTGAAAAGGACTTGAGAGTTTGAGGTGGTTGAGGGCATTTAGAGAAGATACAACAATATGGGATTTCCAAGAGGGCATATAAATCTGAGGTGGAAGTAAGAGGGAGTAGGGGTCATCCCAGGAAGGGTTGGAGGAAGGAGGTTTTGAGTGCTAGGGGCTTGAACATGTAGTAGGGTTGTGTGAACATGTTAGATCAGAGTGGAGACAAAAAAAATTTTGTGGACTTGTCATGATGTTAGTGTGAGTAGGGGTTTACAGAGTTCATTAACTGGACTTTAAGTCCTGGCAGTAGGAGGATGTTGCAATTTGTAAGGCTGTCTGAATTGTGATGTCAGCATGCCTATGGCATGTTGTGTATGGGGGAGGTAAATGTATCTGTGTTAAAAAATTAACACTAAATTTTTGGCTGCTTAATAACAAATTTGTTGACCTTAGGCATTGAGGAACTACCTCCGAGTTGACTGCTGTAACAACACATACTTCAACAGGGCAGATCTGGAAGAACACAGACTCTCTCTTGTCCACCTTAAGGTAAGCATTGACATCTTCAATTGTAATCAGTTTTTTTAAATAAAAGAGGGTCAGACCTTTTTCATACAACTTAAGTCTGTGACTTAAAAAGCTCATTTTTTCCTGTGGTTTGATAGTATCATGGTACATCTAGGTTTTATTTCTGTTTTGTGTAGTATGTACCTTTACTAGATACTCAACCTAATTTTAGGATATGTTGAAAAAACACGCCATTCCTGGATTAAACATCGTTTTTTATATCTAAACACTAGACATATATGTGAAGTTTTTATTCTTTTGTCCATGAATGGATGACAGTGTGTGATGTGCATGAAATAAAGTAAAATTCCTATTGCCTGGGAGTTCATATCCTTGCTATCCTATGGAAAATGACAATGTTTGTATTTAAGAAAATTAAATTTTCATGATTTTATTAAATTTTTTTTAACAGAATCAGCTGGAACAGAAACAAAAACAGAAACAGATGGAAGATGAGGAGGAGGAGGAGGAGAAGACAGATGACATTGGTGTTCCCGAGGATGGTGAGTTATATTTTGTCCAGTGTTTTGAAACAGTGGTAGACTTGCACATAATTAGGTTAAGAATTGTCTGAAACATGATTTAATAAGAATATAAGAGCTGGCCTATGCTGGGCAGGTCCAAGTCACATCCACTTAAGAAGGATGAAGCACTGCATCAGACCCACTAGCGCAAGCAAGTCAGGTTCCAGCTCGCACCCACCCTCACCTACTCCTATATTTGTCTAACCTATTTTATCTTTAATGACGGTACTCGGGAGTTGGTTCCACTCATCCACAACTCTATTAGCAAACCAGTGCTTTCGTATATATCCTTTCCGAACCTAAATTTTTTCCAGCTTGAAACCTGTGTCGTGAGTCTTGTCCTGGTTAGATACTTTTAGCACATTATTTTCATTCCTTGTATTTATTCCTGTTTTCCATTTATACACCAAGTCATATCTTCCCCCTTTCCCAAGTAATTCTGCTGTTGGGTTTTATGTATGATCATGCTTTTTGTATTTCATGCTACAGAGGAAGGGAAATTATTTGCTAAAGCTATAGCTCAGTTGAAGAAAAGTCCAGCTGCAGTAGTGACGAACCCAGAAACTCTGATGCCTTATGACCCCTCCATATCTCAAGGTACGTTAAGGTGGTTACTAAAAATGTTTTAAGGCTTCCCTACACCCCCTCCCCCCATTCTGTTGTATGGGTTTTTAATAGATCTGATTCATTTACCAGGAGGCTGTAAGGTATGACAAGTCATTCTTGGTTATATTTTATTATCTGACAAATAGAGTAGATGTTCTATTTTTGGGATTATGAATTCAAAATGGAAGGGAAGTGTAATATAGGAGAGGCCTGGGGATGTGACTTAATGAACAGAGGATGTGCTGTTTTAGTGATATAAATGTTTATATTGTTTATTTTGCATTCTGTTTTTAAATTGGTATTACTGTATTTTAATTTTGTGTAAAATTGGACAAATTGCTGACTTCTATGCACTTTATAGGGTAGTTGTAGTACTTGAAAGGGCAGTTTCTTGTGCTCTGTCGATAGAACGGAAGGCATACTAGGGAATTAGCTAAGAATTTGGTCAAATGGAGCGATGGAATTGACTTAAAATAGGACTCAAAGTGGGCACAATCTCTGATGCTTAAATTACACTCAGATCGCTAACTTTGTGCCTGCATAATTCTGTGAGTTTTCCATCAAATTCTGTATTTTTGGTGTCATTACCTTCAAAAATTTGCAAACAAAAATGCAAACATGGAATGATTGCAAGTAGGCACTAACCCAATAATTAATGTTATATTTAATGTGAATATTGTTCGTGTTAGTGATGTCTTTTTATTTTTCAGGTTTAAACTTCATTCAGATGAAGTCGCACTACAGGTGTGAAGTTTGCCCTCAGGCTCGTTTGCAGAGCGCTAAAAAAACTGAGAGTCACTTTAAATCCTTGGAACATTACAATAACTTGAAGAGTCATCTTAACAAACTTGAGGTTAGTTGGCAAGAACTAGACCTCATTATTGTTGTTATTACAGGATGGGTTGGATTGTTGTGGTTCTGAGGGGGGTCGTTTGAATTTCATTGTTTATGCACTTCTTGCAAAACATTTTTTCAGTGATTAAGATTTTTTCCTTAAGGGTCACCTAGCTTTTGCTGATGTTATAAAAAATTTCAGATATTGCTCACCCAAGTTCTTGGGGAATTGCAACTAGTTCAAGCAGCATTGACATGGTTCTGCATAAATTCTTGAATAATGTATTGTAAAAGTAAATATTGGTGGGAAGTGCAGTTATGCCCTCTAAATTTTATCTTGGTAGTTAAATGTTAATTATAGTAACACTTGTATTTATATCCAGGAGGAGAAAGAGCTTAAGAAAAAGAGGCTTGAAGAAGAAGCTGCAAAGGCAGAGCTAGAGAAAAAGAAACAAGATGAAGCAAAGAAGAAGAATGGGGAACAGGATGAAGGGGAGGAGATCAGTTTCGAGGACATGCACAACATGGAAACAGTAGATGAAGCATCAGATGATGGAGATATGGAAACTGGTGGCAAAGTTAATCATGGAGCAGCCGATGATGAAGATGAAATACTGAGTGGTGAGGATTTTGATGATGATGATGATGATATGGGAGAAGGTGGCGATGATGAGGATGAGGCTGAGGAGGAAGGTGAAGGTGAAGAGGATGCAGAAGACATTGAAGAGGAGCATGAGCATCCAGAAAGCTGTGTGAGTTAATGATAATTTCCCTGTATTTTGAATGGGTTGTTGACACGTTTTAAACCTATGGGAAATGAAGTTTAGCTTATATTCTCACTCAAGCATTATTTAACAGTTTCTTGAAAGATTTCACTGTGCAACATTTTCATGCACAAGTACTAATTGTGACTTTCTGGATGTTATAGGATGATGATAAGAATGAGGCCTCAGCATCTGTAACAAATCATCCCAAACAAGAAGTTAAGTCTGAACCTAAAGAGGAAGAAGATATTACGTGAGTATTGAGTTTTAAAATGTTTTATTGAAAAGTTTATGGTTGGGAATTTTTGTCATTGGATACCCAACATTTAGAGATAGTTTCTAAAATCTTCTTCTTTCTTTCAACACACCGGCCGTATCCCACCGAGGCGGGGTGGCCCAAAGGAAAAACGAAAGTTTCTCCTTTTACATTTAGTAATATATACAGGAGAAGGGGTTACTAGCCCCTTGCTCCTATATATATCACTAAATGTAATTTTGGTCGCCTCTTACAACACGTATGGCTTACGGAGGAAGAATTCTGTTCCACTTCCCCATGGAGATAAAAGAGGAAATAAACAAGAACAGATGTGGCAGATGTTGCAAGTGTATGGTGTAGGAGGTAGGTTACTGAAAGCAGTGAAGAGTTTTTACGAGGATAGTGAGGCTCAAGTTAGAGTATGTAGGAAAGAGGGAAATTTTTTCCCAGTAAAAGTAGGCCTTAGACAAGGATGTGTGATGTCACCGTGGTTGTTTAATATATTTATAGATGGGGTTGTAAGAGAAGTAAATGCGAGGGTCTTGGCAAGAGGCGTGGAGTTAAAAGATAAAGAATCACACACAAAGTGGGAGTTGTCACAGCTGCTCTTTGCTGATGACACTGTGCTCTTGGGAGATTCTGAAGAGAAGTTGCAGAGATTGGTGGATGAATTTGGTAGGGTTTGCAAAAGAAGAAAATTAAAGGTGAATACAGGAAAGAGTAAGGTTATGAGGATAACAAAAAGATTAGGTGATGAAAGATTGAATATCAGATTGGAGGGAGAGAGTATGGAGGAGGTGAACGTATTCAGATATTTGGGAGTGGACGTGTCAGCGGATGGGTCTATGAAAGATGAGGTGAATCATAGAATTGATGAGGGAAAAAGAGTGAGTGGTGCACTTAGGAGTCTGTGGAGACAAAGAACTTTGTCCTTGGAGGCAAAGAGGGGAATGTATGAGAGTATAGTTTTACCAACGCTCTTATATGGGTGTGAAGCGTGGGTGATGAATGTTGCAGCGAGGAGAAGGCTGGAGGCAGTGGAGATGTCATGTCTGAGGGCAATGTGTGGTGTGAATATAATGCAGAGAATTCGTAGTTTGGAAGTTAGGAGGAGGTGCGGGATTACCAAAACTGTTGTCCAGAGGGCTGATGAAGGGTTGTTGAGGTGGTTCGGACATGTAGAGAGAATGGAGCGAAACAGAATGACTTCAAGAGTGTATCAGTCTGTAGTGGAAGGAAGGCGGGGTAGGGGTCGGCCTAGGAAGGGTTGGAGGGAGGGGGTAAAGGAGGTTTTGTGTGCGAGGGGCTTGGACTTCCAGCAGGCATGCGTGAGCGTGTTTGATAGGAGTGAATGGAGACAAATGGTTTTTAATACTTGACGTGCTGTTGGAGTGTGAGCAAAGTAACATTTATGAAGGGATTCAGGGAAACCGGCAGGCCGGACTTGAGTCCTGGAGATGGGAAGTACAGTGCCTGCACTCTGAAGGAGGGGTGTTAATGTTGCAGTTTAAAAACTGTAGTGTAAAGCACCCTTCTGGCAAGACAGTGATGGAGTGAATGATGGTGAAAGTTTTTCTTTTTCGGGCCACCCTGCCTTGGTGGGAATCGGCCGGTGTGATAATAAATAAAAAGAACTAGAAAGAAAATAGAAGAAGACCCAGAGGGTGTGTATATATATGCTTGTACATGTATGTGTAGTGTGACCTAAGTGTAAGTAGAAGTAGCAAGATGTACCTGAAATCTTGCATGTGGACGAGACAGAAAAAAAAAAAAAGACACTGGCAATCCTACCATCGTGTAAAACAATTACAGGCTTCCGTTTTACACTCACTTGGCAGGACGGTAGTACCTCCCTGGGCAGTTGCTGTTTACCAACCTACTACCTATGTAAGTTTCTAAAATATTGAGGAATAATAATATTGAGAAGACTACACTAATATAATTTAAATACTATTTTTTTTTTTTAATGCACCGGCCATCGCCCACTGAGGCATGGTGACCTAAAATTAAATTTTTTCTTTTTACATTTAGTAATTTATTCAAGAGAAGGGGTTACTAGCCTGTTGCTCCTGGCATTTTAGTCATCTCTTACAACATGCATGGCTTATGGAGGAAAATTTTTTCCCACTTTTCCATGGAAATTTAGTGCTAGTTCTTGTGCACATAATGCCATTACATACCTGAATATTTCTCTTGTTACAAGACTGATACACTGACATATCAGGAAATTACTTCAAGCTTTTAAAACTCTTAAGTATGTCTTTCCTGATTTGGCTATTCAAAATGTATAGCAGACAATGGGTTTAACAATAATGTAATAACAATACTCGAACAATAATTTAATGTAATTCAACATTGGTAAGATGTTTCACTACAAATAGGATTGCTAAATTGATGAATGACTTAATGTAACAAGTAGAATTAGCACATCTGTCCATGAAAAAATTCTTATTTCAAACTTTAGCATTTGTCCCATGCTAGACTTGTATAATATTTATTTAAATAATTTTTATATTGTATTCTCTACAGCATGAAGGAAGAACTAATAAAGAAAGATGAAACTGAAACCAAGTTAGAATCTGAAACTAAAGAAGGGGTGAAGGTGCAGGAGCCAACAGTGAAGGAGGAAGACATGCCCAGCCAGACCAAAGTTAAGATTGAAGTGGCTACTCCCCGTGGCAGGAGAGGTAGAGGGAGGGGCCGGGGACGAGCTGCCAGGAACTAAGTCATGGCTCTCTCTCCTTAATGTAGACTTGTTTACAATAATTACAGTCAGTAATATGTTAAAAAACAATTACTGGAAAGTGAATTTTAAGGATAGCATTTAAAATAGAAAAAATTTGCAAATCTGGGGAGGGGAAACTGGTTTGTTCAAAATCGTGAAGTTGATCACCAGTTGTCTTGCCAGTAATTTTTTTTTTCTTTTTTTTCACTTGTAATTTTTGTGTTGACAGGGCATAAAAAAAGCAGCTTAATCTGGCAGGTGTAAGTCAGTCTAATAAATCTAGTTGTTTGTGTGGTCCTGCAGTTTGTATAGTCCAACTAGTGGTGTTAATTTCATAATAAATGCCTATTACGTGTTATGTATGTTACAAATGTACCAGTACATTTTCAAGAATTTGCTCAACTCAAAAACAGCAGTTTAGGACAACTGGAATTGCTGTTTGCACTAGAGGATAATGTACTAAGAGGACAGTTATTCTTGTTGCCTCTTGTGCAATAATCCAAGAGTAGAAATTTTTATCATAATTGAAGGCATTCAGTTAATTGATGCAACAGAAATCTTATGTATCGAGTTTGTAATTATCTCTGTGGGGGGCGATGATACTCCAAGGTGGAGATATGACTAAAGGTTGTTAGTAATGACTGCAAGTTAATTGTGTATGATTGCAGTAGTTATAAAACTAATTTTACACAAGCAAAATTTTTTTTTTTTACAAATATTGATGCAGTTTTGAAATCAAATTTGTAATTTACATGTATAAATATGAAATGATTGTAGTAAACCTTTATTTTGGACTTGAATGTCCAGTGTCTCAGTCTTTAGGTTTAGGTCAGTATCTTAAGGTTCTAAACCATTGTCATACTCTTAAGTTTTTTTTTCTGTATGTCAGATTATATTCTGTATTTTATTGACTGGTAAATCCTAATGAGATTGAAATAAAAGTTTCCAGTATTTGAAAAGTTTTTTTTAATGAAACCTTAATGCAGTATTCACAACAACTCTCGATGGACGCCCATCTTGAGTGGGGAAATTAAAGCCTATGTTTTTTTTTTATTAGCACATCGGCCGTTCCCCACCAAGGTAGGGTGGCTTGAAAAAAGAGAAACTTTCACAATCATTCACTCCATCACTGTCTTGGAGGAGGTGTGCTTACACTACAGTTATAAAACTACAACATTAACACACCTTCAGAGTGCAGGCACTACTTCCCATCTCCAGGACTGAAGTCTGGCCTGCCAGTTTCCCTGAATCCCTTCATAAATATTACAGTGCTCACACTCCAACAGCACGTTTAGTCCTAATAACTTGTCTCCACTCGTGCCTATCTAACATGCTCACGCTTGCTGAAGTCCAAGCCCCTCGCATACAAAACCACCTTTACCCCCCCCCCCCCCAACCTTTCCTAGGCTGACCTCTACCCCACCTTCCCTTCATTACAGATTTGTACACTGTCATTCTATTTTGTTCCATGATCTCTGTCTGAACAACCCCTTCTCAGTCCTCTGGATAATAGTTTTGGTTATCCTGCACCTCCTAATTTCCATACTATGAATTCTCTGCATTATATTCACACCACACATTGCCCTCAGACACATCTCTGCTGCCACTGGCCTTCTTGTTGCAACATTCACCACCCATGCTGTGCAAGCATGTAAGAGTTTTGGTATAACTATACTCTCCTACATATCCCCTTTTTGCTTCCATGGATAAAGCTGTCTCCACAGATTCCTCAGTGCACCACTCGCCTTTTTCCCCCCATCAATTCTACGATTCACCTCAGCCTATGTATTAGTATGGAAAAAAGTTCCTATACTCTTTGCTGGGCAAAAGTGACATCTGGCAACTCAGACATTGTAAATAGAGGAGTAAAGACTTCTTTCAACAAACCAGCCATATCCCATGGGGCAGTTTGGCCCAAAAGAAGAGAAAAAAAAAGGTTTTCCCTTTTAAGTTTAGTAATATATACAGGAGGAGGGGGTTGCCACCCTCTTCCTCACGGCATTTTAATCGCCTCTTACGACGCGGCTTACGGAGGACGAATTCTGTTCCACGTTCCCCGGAGGAGTCGAGACTATCTTCATGAATTAACACTAACGATGGTGATTGGTAGACAAAAGTAATTGCTGGTACTTTCTATGTATCTATGGCCCGGTGGCCTGGTGGCTAAAGCTCCTGCTTCACACACGGAGGGCCCGGGTTCGATTCCCGGCGGGTGGAAACATTTCGACACGTTTCCTTACACCTGTTGTCCTGTTCACCTAGCAGCAAATAGGTACCTGGGTGTTAGTCGACTGGTGTGGGTCGCATCCTGGGGGACAAGATTAAGGACCCCAATGGAAATAAGTTAGACAGTCCTCGATGACGCACTGACTTTCTTGGGTTATCCTGGGTGGCTAACCCTCCGGGGTTAAAAATCCGAACGAAATCTTATCTTATCTTATCTCAAGGAAGTTTCTTGTTGCTGCTGAGGGGCTCTTGATCTAGGGAACTGGATCTGTGCTCCAGTTCCCTGAATTAAGCCTGAATGTCTTCCATCCCCTCCATAGGCGCTGTAAAATCCTATGGGTTTAGTGCTTCCCCTTGATTATAATAATAATATGTATCTGTACAAAAAGAAAATTATGAATGCAGACTTTAATTTCCATTCAGATATAATATCCAGCATAAAACCATGGAAATGTGATAACTTGAGAGGGTTGTCTGCCTTGGAGGTGGGTATCCGTTGTTTTATCTTGGCGACCAGGTTTAATACGATTGTTATAGTCAGTAGTTTTTTTTTAATTTAAGATATGTATATATTGGACAAGTTAAAATTTTAAAGTTTGGGCATAATATAAGCTGCGTTTGACAAATTTTTGACTACCTATCTACACTGTCATAAAAAGGTCAGGTGTTGTAAGTTGACCGCGAGGTGTAATCTCACCCTTATATGCCTTTCTGTTGATCTTTGATGATGTGAGAAATCACGAAAGTGCTTGGAATTTCACTATTTTTTCGTAGTGGTTGATCTGCATGTGTGTGTTTGAATGACCTGTGTCTGTCTTATGTACATGAAATTTTCAATAAAATTATTATCTTTATTATTGGGAGCGCTAAACCGGTAGGAATTATACAGCACCCCGGGAGGGATATGGAAGGCATTCAGGTTCAATTCAAGGAACTGGAGCAGAGATCAGAGTCCCTCGCCAGTGTCAAGGAACCTCCCTAGAGGGAACAAAATATAACAAAATGAATAATAATGGTTGACACTTGAATCATCTCTTGTGGTTAATTGAACACCGTCATCCACATCATTGTTCCAGTGAAGTTACTGTAATCACGGGGAGCGCTAAACTCTTAGGTGTCAAATAGCGTCTGAAGAATGAGAAGCATAGAGGTTCCATCCATTTAGCCAACTATTAACCAGCAACAGCACTGGGGTTGAGGACCATCACAACCCTTCAACCCAACATCAGTTTTAACTATGGGACTGGGAGGAGTTGAGAGACGGTGCTATGACCGTCACAACCCAACAGCAGCTTAATATATAAGACAGAGGATTATTATTATAATCATGGTTTAGCGCTTCCTCCTTGATTATAATAATTATATTATTATTATAATTATGGGGGAGTGCTAGACCTGAAGGTATTCAGACTCAATTCAGGGAACCGGAGCATAGATCCAATTCCCTACATCAAGAGCCTCTCACCAGCATCAAGAAACCTCCCTTGAGGGGTTAAAACAGAGGAGTTGAGGGACATTAGCAGGATCACCATCTGGAAAAGACCCGGGCCGAGACAAGACCAGCGAACCTACTACAGTACAGAGGAACGTTACAAGGAAGGTCAGGACCCTTCAACCCAACAGCAGGTTTTATCCCTGGGAGAGGGAGGAGCTAAGATACAGTACTAGGACCGTCACAAACCTCCAGTCCAGCAGCAGCAACAACAACAACATCATCCTCGTGGAGGTTGTGACTAAAACCCTCAAGAACTTTTACTGTGGTGCTCCAGAAGACACAGAAGAATTTGTAATTGAACTTGTAGCGCGAAGAAACAGAATCTGTTTATTTTAGGTAAGTAAGAACTCCATGAAGGTGCAGATGACAGGTGAATGGTGCAGGAGATGAGAGAGAGAGTCTCCGCCATTTTATTTTATTTTAATAATGGGAAACGTTGGTTGTAGAGGTTATACATGCCTTGAGGGGAATTGAGATGTAGTTATATTACATCCAGGGACAGGGAGAATGAATGCAGTTGCTTGGATCAAGAGCCATAGAACACGTCACTGCTCCTGTAGGGAAGGTCTTCAGTCATGGCCTCGTAGGAGTCACTGATAGTAATAATAATCTATATTTCAGCATAATACAATGTTTCTACAGAGATGGGGGATATTTAGATGTGCATGCTGAAAGCCCCTTGTTATGCACAGCATTTCAGGCAAATTTAGCTAACTAACTTTACTTTTCTTACTTTACGTTCTTACTTTACTTTCTTACTTTACTTTCTTACTTTACTTTCTTACTTTACTTTCTTACTTTACTTTCTTACTTTAGCTTTCTTACTTTAGTTCTTACTTTACTTTCTTACTTATTTACTTCTTCTTACTTTCTTACTTTACTTTCTTACTTTACTTTCTTACTTTACGTTCTTACTTTACTTTCTTACTTTACGTTCTTACTTTACTTTCTTACTTTACATTCTTACTTTACTTTCTTACTTTACTTTCTTACTTTACGTTCTTACTTTACGTTCTTACTTTACTTTCTTACTTTACGTTCTTACTTTACTTTCTTACTTTACGTTCTTACTTTACTTTCTTACTTTCTTACTTTACTTTCTTACTTTACTTACTACTTTACTCACTTTACTTTACCTACTACTACTACATTTCAGCGTGATACATTGCTTTTTACAAAGGTAAAGGACCCCATTGGAAATAAGTCACTTTGACTGACTTTTTTGGGTTATCCTGGGTAATCTACACATATGCTGCTATGTATGATAATTTATGTAACTGTATTTGTACCTGTACCTGAATAAACTTACTTATTTAGGTGTAGATGCAGAACGCCTCTTAATACACACAGAGCATTTCGGGCAAACTTAAGACTAACTTAAGGTTATCATCTCCCCCTGTGGTTGTTTTGCATATCCTAGAGGGAATAGTACCAAACGTGCACATGAAAATCACCCCCTATGAAAGCAAAAGACTCGGCAGACAATGCAACATCCCCGCAATGAAAAGCAGGGACGCCACTAGCAAGATAAGAGACAACACGGTAAGTGTCAGGGGCCCAAGACTATTCAACAGCTTCCCAGCATACATACGGGGGATTACCAGTAGACCCCTGGCTGTCTTCATGAAGTCTCTTGGCAAGCACCTAAAGTAAGTTCCTGACCAGCCGGGCTGTGGTTCATATGTCAGTTTGCGTGCTGCCAACAGTAACAGCCTGGTTGATCAGGCCCTGATCTACCATGAGGCTTGGTCACAGACCGGGCCATGGGGGCATTTACCCCTGAAACCATCTCCAGGTTTACTCCAGGTATGATAATTGTACTTATGAGTACCTGTACTTAATAAACTTACTTGCACTCTATGAAAAGTGAGAAGCTCATGAGGAAAAAAAATTCTGAAATTATAGCCATATATATCACACAGTATTGTACATCTACTAAAGTTTGACATTTTTCTCTTTATATAAGCCGTAGACACAAATTAAAAGAAAGGTAGGTCATTTCATGTATTCTGTATGTCCAATGGTTAAGTTAGGTTGCTGTGTGTCCTAAATGATTGTGTGCTTTATTTTTTATTGACAGGATGCCAGCTTATAAGAAGGATGGTTATGGTGATGACCGAGGTGGTGTTCGTTACAGGTTAGTTACTGTTAAATGCTTAATGCTTTAAAATACCAAAAGGTTGTTATGTAAGACACGTGCAACAGTTAGGTATCTTTATTTTGAAATGTTTTGCCTATACAGTAGGCTTATTTAGTCAAGTACAGAAAAGTTGGTAGAAGCAGAAGAGATGTGAAGATGACGTAATCAGTCCATCACCCTTGAAAACGTAGTTTTGAGGTGGTCAGTCCTTCAGCCTGGAGAAGAGTATTTATTCCATAGTCTGAGACAATGTGAAGTTGAAGTGACAGTATGAAGCGTTATATATTGTCAGGAGGTGAGATGTAAGCTACTAGTAGTAATATTCACTCTGTCAGACACTGCAACACAATGGTATCTTGGTACAGAACTGAAAACACCTTGAACAACTTCTGTAAGTGAGAAAGGTTGGACTTGAGAGGGATGTGGCCTCTTAATGATTAAATTCTTTCTTCTGCTAGTGGCCTACAGCTCACCTGACAATATATAAGGCTCCATACTGCCACTTCAACTTCACATTTTTAGACTATGGAACATATGCTCTTCTCCAGGCTGAGGGACTGATCACCTCAAAACTGTCTTCAAGGGTGATGGACTGATTACATTGTCTTCACATCTCTTCTGCTTCTACCAACTTTTCTGTACTCGACTGATGAAGCCTGCTGTGTAGGCGAAACGTTTTGAAATAAAGATACCTAACTGTTGCATGTGTCTTACCTAACAACAGGTTAGTTACTCTTACCAAGCATGTTTAATTGTTAATGTTGGTTGTGATTCTCATGAGTAGGAGCCTTCCTTTACACAGTATCCTTTGTAATATTAACTTTCCTTTTGGATATTTGTGCACTACTTTCTTAACCCACAGGGGACGAGGCCGTGGTGGGTTTGGCCGGGGAGGACGAGAGAGTGGTGGTGGTGGGCGAGGCTATGGACGTGGTGGAGGCAGTTATGACCGTGATAGATACAAGTGGAACGACAGAGGAGGCAGACATGAAGGATCTGGAGGTTACAGAGACAGAGGCTATGGCCAGAACAGGTGGGTCCGTGCTTTTAACATCACAAGAAATGCAGTAAGATGTTCATTTGCAAAAAATACATGTGAATTCAAATGACGATATAACACCAAATTCCACATATGAGCAAATTTTGACAAGACCCTCTTTCTGTACAGCATTTTGGACAAGTCTTTGTCTAGCAGTTTTAATTCATATACTGAGTATTTTCAAAAAGGGTCGTAGACTAATTTATATGCAAATTGAATACATGTATACAGTGGAACGTCGTTTGAATGTACCAAATCTATAACAATTCGGAGTCTGAACAGATTTGTTCAGAAAAAAGTGACCTGGTCTTTGAAAAATTTTCTGGAGTCCAAACAAAATTGAAAAAACTTTACACATCTTAAAAGTGCTTAGACGTGACCTCTAACATTGGCCTAACTCTCAGAGACTTTTGGAAGAGTCAGTTCAATGTCCTTTAGTGTGTGAGGCTGATAATTAAAGCCTGGGAAATACTGTTTCAGACATCAAACTTTTCGCAGTTTGAACTCGACCTAGGAACCAATTAAGTTCTGACACCTGGGTTCCACTGTACAATACTTGTTACTGTACGAACAAAACAAAAATGTCTAGTACTACTATTAACCGTTTCAGGGTCCCCAGGCCCTCTCCCAGACTTGTTCTCAGGGTTGCCCAAATTTAAAAAAAAATTATTTTTTCTTATGAAATGATAGAGAATCTTTTCCTGATTATAATGACAACAAAAGTATGAAATTTGATGGAAAACTTACGGAATTATGCTCTCGTGAAGTTAGCGGTCTCGACGATGTTTACACATCGGCGATTTTGCCTACTTTGAGCCCTATTTTCAGCCAATTCCAGTGTACTAGTCAACAAAAATCATAACTATTTCGCTAGAACTCCATTTTTTCTATCGAATAAATACTAGAAACCACCCATTTACCGATTTCAACTATCCAATACAGTGGTCAGAATTTAGCAATTTTGCCAATTTCACACAAATTTCAAAAGATGCCAATTTCCAAATAGGGTCCAGAATAAACAAGAAAGACATTCCTGGCACTAAAATAACATTTCCTCTGTTCATTAGTCATGTCCCCATGCCCCTCTTACATTCTTTTGCTTTCCACTTTGAATTTTTATTCTCTCAAAAAATAGAAGATTTACTGTTATGCAGACTACTGCATTAGTGTAGAAATGGTATAAATAATATCATCGCACTTGTGAAAGAATATTAGACTCACCAGTTGACGTGTATTGAACGCTTAGCATGATTTGTTTACTTTTGAACTTTGGTAAAAATTGAACATTTCTGCAACTTTGAGCTCAGTTTCAAGGTACTTTTCATTGTAAAACCAGTTAAAATCATGTCAATTTCTGTAATATGTCTTCCATTTTATAAAATGAGACTAGGAAAACTAGAATACAACAATAAATACCAACGAAAATACAGTGCAAAGTCGCTGTTTTAATCCAAAAACACGGTCAAAGTTTTTTTTTTCTCATTACGCACTGTGTGCTGCAGGAGTACGTCAAAAACCCTGGTGCGTAAGCTGTACTAGTACGTCTGAAAGCCTGAAAGGGTTAATGGAGGATTTAAGAATATTATGACATAAGGTCGATAATATAATGTTGGTGATGTACAAGTTATTTTTAGTGTAATTTAAAGTTTACCTGGAGATTACCTGGAGAGAGTTCCGGGGGTCAGCGCCCCTGTGGCCCGGTCTGTGACCAGGCCTCCTTAGGTCAGTGTCCCAGGATGCGACCCACACCAGTCGACTAACACCCAGGTACCCATTTTACTGATGGGGAACATAGACAACAGGTGGAAAGAAACACGTCCAATGTTTCTACTCTGGCTGGGAATTGAACCCAAGCCCTCACCGTGTGAAGCGAGAGCGTTAACTACCAGGCCACCAGAGAATTATTGTAATAATAATCATACAAGTGCAATGTGTTACTGGGCTTCACTTGATAAAAAACATACAAAAAGGTTAGAGATTGTGTCATCACAGTACAGTAATTTTTTTTTAATCACGCTGGCCATCTCCCACCGAGGCAAGGCGACCTGAAAAAGAAACACTTTCACCATCATTCACATTATCACCGTCTTGCTAGAGGTGTGCAGATATGACAGTAATACAGGCAGACCCTGCTTTACATTGCTTTGCTTTACAACATTCACTAATACAATACAGTGTTTGCTAATAAAGCAGTTTTCAGTTATACTCAGTCTTCATTTATTCAAACCTCCTACAATAAGTGTGTTCACCACTCACTGTGAGTTAAGAATGAAAATATTTTTAGGGTGAGTAATGTATACTGTATATGCATTTTTTAGTCATAGCTATATTGCTCACTTAATATATGATAGTGTAAATATGTTTTCAGGCTTTGAAAGTGAAAAGTGGCTGTGATTCACTTTACAGTGATTTTCACTTTACAGTAGTAGCGCAGAATCTAACCTGCTGTATAAGTGAGGCCTTCCTTTATTATTAAAAAAAAAAAAACAGACTCCATTTAACATTGCTTTTCACTGATGTAGTATAATATCATTTATTCAGAAGGGGTTAAATATACCTTGAGAGTCTAGGCAACTAGGTACAGTGGACCCTCGACCAACGATGGCATCGATTAACGATAAATCCGACGTGATACATTTTAACGCAAAAATTTTGCCTTGACTAGCGCTAAAAAACTCAACCAACAATATTCGTTCCATCTGAGACGCGTCCACTTCTGGCCAGTGTTTACAAGCCAGCCAGCCACAGCGATCACTTCCAAGCATACAATCGGAACATTTCATATTATCACAGCCTCTTTTAGTGATTGCACCTGCAAAATAAGTCACCATGGGCCCCAAGAAAGCTTCTAGTACCGACCATACAGCAAAAAGGGTGAGAATAACTATGGATATGAAGAAAGAGATCATTGCTAAGTATGAAAGTGGAGTGCGTGTCTCCGAGCTGGCCAGGTTGTACACAAAACCCCAATCAACCATCGCTACTATTGTGGGCAAGAAAACGGCAATCAAGGAAGCTGTTCTTGCCGAAGGTGCAACTATGTTTTCGAAACTGAGATCGCAAGTACTCGAAGATGTTGAGAGACTGTTATTGGTGTGGATAAACGAAAAACAGATAGCAGGAGACAGCATCTCTCAAGCGATCATACGTGAAAAGGCTAGGAAGTTGCATGACAATTTAATTAAAAAAATGCCAGCAACTAGTGGTGATGTGAGTGAATTTAAGGCCAGCAAAGGTTGCTTTGAGAGATTTAAAGGGAAGGGAAGTAACCCTGGAAAAGGACTTGCCCCCTCAAGTCCTAATGGAAGGGGATTCCCCTTCTAAACACTAAGACCATCAACACTCTCCCCTCCTCCCATCCCATCAATCATCACCAGATCTTCAATAAAGGTAAGTGTCATGTAACTGTGCATGTCTTCTTCAGTTTGTGTGTATAAAAATTAATATTTCATGTGGTAAAAACAATTTTTTTTCATACTTTGGGGTGTCCTACACGGATTAATTTGATTTCCATTATTTCTTATGGGGAAAATTAACTTGACTAACGATAATTTTGACTAACGATGAGCTCTCAGGAACAGATTAATAGCGTTAGTCGAGGGTCCACTGTACAGTGGACCCCCGGTTTACGATCAGCTCCCAATACGACCAATTATGTAAGTGTATTTATGTAAGTGCGTTTGTATGTGTATGTTTGGGGATCTGAAATGGACTAATCTAATTCACAATATTTATTATGGGAACAAATTCGGTCAGTACTGGCACCTGAACATACTTCTGGAATGAAATAATATCGTAAACCAGGGGTCCACTGTATTTAACTTTTTTTTTTTTTTCTTTTTTTCCTAACAATTAGGTTCCGAGATGGACCAGGGGGTAGAAATCAGGGCGGCAGCTGGAACAGAGGGTCTGGCTCAGGCAGTGGCCACATGGATCGAGGTAGAGCTTCAGACTTCTACAATCCTCTTAGTCAACTGAGAGGCAAGGAGAGTGAAATTGCCATGAGCATTGTGAATGCAGTCCTGGCCTCAGTAAGTGTATTTATTCACAATTTAGAGTGGGCTATTTGGGCACTTGATTCATATAGCATGGATGCTCCTTACTCAGGATGGGGTTTTGTTCCGATGAACCCATCGCAAGTTGAAAATATGTTGAAAATAAATATAAGATTCAATAAATAAATAACTACTGTCACTGAATAATTAAATAAAAAACAATTGCTGTAACTGAATACCAGTATTGAAAAGTAAATTAATGAATACAAGTACAGTACTGAATGAATGTAAATCGTCATTGCACCATCATTAAGTTGAACTATCATAAGTCAGATCCTCGTAAAGTGAGGAGCATCTATATTTCAAAAACTGAAATATAGACATTATTACTATCATCATTATGGTAGAGCTCTTAATCCTGTAGTGGTAGTACAGCACTTGAAGAATGGGAGTTAATCTGTCTGATCCAAGGAAAAAAGTGGATTGTTGTAATTACTACTAGGGCAAGGAAAAATTCACTGGAAAATTGCTTCATAATTGCTTCAGATGGGAAATTATATGTGATGTCCATGTTTAGGAATAACCTGGACACTTGTGTTCCTGGGGAAAATTTAATAACGCTTGTAGGCAAGTGTATTAGTGGCACGCTGGGTCAGTAATTAAGATATTTTAACATAGGAAACTTAAGATTGAGGTTGTGAAGTATGTAGTGGCTGTATATATATATATTTTAAACACTGGCTGTTTCCCACCAAAGCAGGGGGGGGCCCCCCCAAAAAAAGGAAACTCACCGTCATGCACACTGTCACTGTCTTCCTAGGGGTGCGCATATATGACATTTTAGATGTCCCTCCTAACAGCAGATATCGCAAACCCATCCTTTAGAGTGCAGGCATTGTACTTCCCACCTCCAGGTGAGAGTCTGACTAACCAGTTTACCTGAATCCCTTCACAAAATATTATGTTGCTCACATATTTTTTGTTTTTTCAATGAGCTGGCTGTATTCCACCGAGGCAGGGTGACCATATAGTATATAGTTATATATTTTAATACTAAACATCTCCCACTGAGGGAGGGGTGCCTCGAAAAGGAAACACTTTCACCATCATTTACACTATCACTGTCTTGCCAGAGGTGCGCAAATATATGAAAATATACGTTGGGAGAAAACCCAGATTGGGTGAATTGAATTGCTTGCTAGGTCATTGGAGGTTGAATAGAAATAGTGGTACAGTGTGCTGAAATTGGTGGTAGCAGTTTATTTGTCAGATAACAACACAGTGTCATAACAGGTGAAAGAATTATGGTATATCAGGTTAAGCATTTACCAGCTTACCAGAGCTAGGTTGTATGCTCTATTTAATACACAAAGGATCACATGCTGGTAGTAGCTGAAGTGCTGCATAAAGTATTATGGCATAGAGGAAAGTAGTTAAGATCAGCTTTGGAAAACTACTTTATATACAAGGGTTTAGAAATAAGTAAAGTGGTTTGACTCATCGTTAATATTAATTGCTCATTCCACGGCTGTACCATATTTGACATAAACAAAACATTTTTGATACACAGTCGCAGAATTCATCTGGAGGCATTGGTCGCAGCAACTGGTATGATGGTTCTCCTAGGAAGATGAGACACATGGACTGGGTGAGTGGTAGTCCACATTATGCAAGGAATGTGGTGTCATGTTATTTTTCCCATTGTGACATGTTGCATGAGTCTGGAATGAGGTACTATCCTTATATAGCATCTGTATTTATTAATTTAGTTTACTTCTACTGTCCAACGGGATAAACTACAACCTGCTATAGTCCTGCACACCATTACTACATGCATTTCTTTCTTCTGTTTTGTTGTACACAAAATTATCACATGCCTTAGTCGTATTTTAGTACTAATACACTTGAAGCAAAGCTTATGACTTATTGATTTTCAATCTTTTATTCCCCACTGATTCATTTCAATGTCAAGCTTTGTATATAACTCGTGATCATGATACCTCGATAACTGTTTGATAAGTGTGTGATGCTGATTCTTTGTAACTTAAGGTTTTCCACGTTCTTGAAAACTTTAACAATCAGTGCTCATGATTCCTCTTTAAAATAACCTAAGGAATGTGGTAAAAGCCACTACATTGTTAAAAAAAATATTTAAATATGTCGTGCTTTCACAAAATCTGAGAGAGGTGGAAGATTGGTGTTGTGGTAGTCCCAGTATAGGTGATAGTACACTGCACTATCACCAAGCACTGCTCAGTGGGGTGAGCATCAGAGCCTTGTGTAAATATGGGATGTGTGTTCCCTCAAAGAGGCTCTGCATGGAGGTCTGTGAATGCTGCGGGATAACTGAGTGGTGAGTGTCTTCCACAGGATGGGGTGCGATCACCACCCATGCACAAGTATAACCAGCGTGACTTTCGCATAGTGAAGGGCTACAGGGGCAGCAGTGGCTATGCTAAGGCTCCTATGGATTATCGAAAGATGTCAAAATCCCAGTTAAGAAAGATTGAAATGGCCCGGCTAGAAATGCCTCAACCTGAAAAAAAGGAGAGCAAAGACAGTGAGAAAAAAGTTTCAGCAACAGAAGTAAAAGAAGGGGAGCAGGAGAGGGCCTCAGCTGAAGAGAGCGGTCCTCCTGCTGATGCTGACAGGAAACAGAGGTAAGCTCTTACACGATGTGTTGCTCTCAACCGACTCTTGTCAAACCTCTGAATTCCAAGAACATAAACTGAGTTAAGCCCACTTACTGTGGTAGTGTTGCCTAGGTAAAGCTTCTCAACCACTGTTGTGGAACATGCTTCTGGAGATTAGTAATCTCTCTCTGTCTTCAAGTGGCTCACCTGTGTGCCTCATGCATCAACATGTTGTATGTTGGTTAATTTGGAGGGGATTTACCTAGGGATTTACAAATCTGTGATTATGTGTGTGTGTTTACTGTAATCTTCCTTTACTTCACATTGAATTGATTTCTCTATAAAAAATAATAATAGTATAATTACAGCATTTCTTGACCTCTCATGATTGCCATTGTCTGATGTGTTTTCTCCGCAGAATGACCTTGTCCACAACTTGCGGTTTACAACCCTCATTCTTGGGACCATCTAATATAATACTTTATTGTGTGTTACAATTACTGTATTACAGGATATATTATAAACACTGCACAATTTTCAGGTACCTCTTTGTTCCTTTTTGGTTTAAAAACATGCCATACAATAAATATATTATTGTATACTATTATCTCAGAATGGTGTAGTGTTTCTCAGTTGAAACAGTTTTTAGCTGTAGTGGAATTAGTATAAAGTGAAGCAAAAAAAGATATTTTTGGCATTTTTATGAACTGAGCAAGTACAGTGGCACCCCGAGTTTCAAACTGCTCCCATCTCAACCAGTTATGTAAGTGTATTAGTGTACGTGCTTTTGTAAGTGTATTTTTGGGGGTCTGAAACGGACTAATCTAATTTACATTATTCCTTATGGGAACAAATTCGTTTGGTAACGGCACTTGAACAGCCTTCTGGAACGAAGAAAGTTCGAAACTCGGGTACCACTGTACATTCAAGTACTCCAGCCAAGAATTTCACATTTCATTCAGTGGGAAAGATTTGATAATTCATTCACAAATAACCCACATATTATACAAGAAACCTTAAGCAACATTTTTGTCCATACTGGCCCATTATCATATCTGAGAAATGTTAGAGGATAGATCAAAATTTTGTCTAAAATTTCCAAACTATGGAATGGGTGGGGACTGAATCCATGGTGAGTTCTAAAACTCACAGGCCAGCTGGCTGACTCTAATGATATTCTTCCAACTACGTATTGTAGTCAACTGGCAGAGTGGCTTACGCACTGGCTATGGGTTCAAATCCCATCTGTTCCTTGGTTTGTTTGCGGTCATTTTATTACTCAAATTTCCTCTATAAATAAATAAATGATCTTTATTTCTACAAGTACATATACATGGTATACAGGCCATAGCTGACATCAATGACATACTACTATATACAAAGCCCCTTGTTATGCAGAGCGTTTCGGGCAAATTAGGTCAATTTTGTCCCCAGGATGTGACCCATACCAGTTGATCAGCACCCAGGTACCCAGGTGAACAGGTGTCTTAGGGAAACATGTCCTAATGTTTCCACCCATACTGTATTTATTACAGGTTAGGTTAGGTGAGGTTTGTCAGGAAACAGGACTAGCATTTCCTGATGTGGGTCTTTAGATGATGACCTGCTGTTGGAGCTTTTGGTCATTTGACCGAGACTTTCCGCTGGCTTACCCCTCCACCCCTTAAAAAATTATGGTCATAGTTACAACCATTTGGCATACTATTTATTACATTTGTATTTGACTGAGTAATTATCCTGCTGGAGACCTACTTGAGGAAAAAAGAATACATTAAATTTTTTTTTTCCTTCTCACTTGGGAAGTTTATAATATGCCAGTACATATATATATATGCAAAACAACCACTGTGAAAGAAATAGTGAAATTCCAGATGCTCTCGTGATTTCTCACGTTATCAAGGACCTGTAATAATAGACCTATATCACCTGTTTACACACACACACACACACACACACACACACACACACACACACACACACACACACACACACACACGCATATGCTCACACACATGCGCACACACATGCACATGTATATGCGCGCACACGCACAGGCACACATGTACACGCATGTCGAGAGATGACCTAGTAGGAATCAGTGAAGAGGCGGGGCCAGGAGCTATGGCTCGACCCCTGCAACCACAAATAGGTGACTATACGCACACGGGGCCAAGAGCCGTGACTCGACCCCTGCAACCACAACTAGGAGAGTGTACACACACACACACACACACACACACACACACACACACACACACACACACACACACACACACACACACACACACACACACACACACACACAGTGAGTTTAAATACTCTGTTAAGGTGAACGTTATAGTGGGCAAAGATGTGCGAGTATGTTTTAATTTTTATGAACATCTGCTTGGAATTGTAGATGGCAAGGCTGCAGGAGTGGGTTTCTTTGAAGTTCTTAAGGTGTTTTTTTTTTTTTTTTTTTTTTTTTTTTTAGATCTGAAGATGTGTTTTGAAGGTTTTTGGAGGTTTTAGTGCTCCTGAAGGTCCTGCAATGGTTCATTAGAGCTTGTGGGAGAAATGGGTAGTGCCCCACAGTAGTTTATTGAAGGTTTTATGAGAGGGGTTAGTGCCCCATGGTGGTTTATTGAAGGTTTATGAGAGGGGGTTAGTAACCCATGGTGATTTATTGAAGGCTTTAAAAGGAAGGAGTGGTTAGTGACTCATGTGGATTTATTGAAGACTTTGGAAGGAGAAGAGTGGTTAGTGCTCCATGGTAGTTTATTGAAAGTTAAGTAAGTTAATTAAGGCACAGGTACACACAAATACAATTATCTTGCATAGTGTAAATTATCTAAGATAACCCGAAAAAAGTCAAGACGACTTACTTCCATTGGGGTTCCTTCATGGTGTCTTTAAAACTACATTATTTTTTTTTTTATTATCACACTGGCCGATTCCCACCAAGGCAGGGTGGCCCAAAAAAGAAAAACTTTCACCATCATTCACTCCATCACTGTCTTGCCAGAAGGGTGCTTTACACTACAGTTTTTAAACTACAACATTAACACCCCTCCTTCAGAGTGCAGGCACTGTACTTCCCATCTCCAGGACTCAAGTCCGGCCTGCCGGTTTCCCTGAACCCCTTCATAAATGTTACTTTGCTCACACTCCAACAGCACGTCAAGTATTAAAAACCATTTGTCTCCATTCACTCCTATCAAACACGCTCGCGCATGCCTGCTGGAAGTCCAAGCCCCTCGCACACAAAACCTCCTTTACCCCCTCCCTCCAACCTTTCCTAGGCCGACCCCTACCCCGCCTTCCTTCCACTACAGACTGATACACTCTTGAAGTTATTCTGTTTCGCTCCATTCTCTCCACATGTCCGAACCACCTCAACAACCCTTCCTCAGCCCTCTGGACATCAGTTTTGGTAATCCCGCCACTCCTCCTAACTTCCAAACTGCGAATTCTCTGCATTATATTCACACCACACATTGCTCTCAGACATGACATCTCCACTGCCTCCAGCCTTCTCCTCGCTGCAACATTCATCACCCATGCTTCACACCCATATAAGAGCGTTGGTAAAACTATACTCTCATACATTCCCCTCTTTGCCTCCAAGGACAAAGTTCTTTGTCTCCACAGACTCCTAAGTGCACCACTCACCCTTTTTCCCTCATCAATTCTATGATTCACCTCATCTTTCATAGACCCATCCACTGACATGTCCACTCCCAAATATCTGAATACATTCACCTCCTCCATACTCTTTCCCTCCAATCTGATATCCAATCTTTCATCACCCAATCTTTTTGTTATCCTCATAACCTTACTCTTTCCTGTATTCACTTTCAATTTTTTTCTTTTGCACACCCTACCAAATTCATCCACCAATCTCTGCAACTTCTCTTCAGAATCTCCCAAGAGCACAGTGTCATCAGCAAAGAGCAACTGTGACAACTCCCACTTTGTGTGATTCTTTATCTTTTAATTCCACGCCTCTTGCCAAGACCCTTGCATTTACTTCTCTTACAACCCCATCTATAAATATATTAAACAACCACGGTGACATCACACATCCTTGTCTAAGGCCTACTTGTACTGGGAAAAAATTTCCCTCTTTCCTACATACTCTAACTTGAGCCTCACTATCCTCGTAAAAACTCTTCACTGCTTTCAGTAACCTACCTCCTACACCATACACCTGCAACATCTGCCACATTGCCCCCCTATCCACCCTGTCATACGCCTTTTCCAAATCCATAAATGCCACAAAGACCTCTTTTAGCCTTATCTAAATACTGTTCACTTATATGTTTCACTGTAAACACCTGGTCCACACACCCCCTACCTTTCCTAAAGCCTCCTTGTTCATCTGCTATCCTATTCTCCGTCTTACTCTTAATTCTTTCAATAATAACTCTACCATACACTTTGCCAGGTATACTCAACAGACTTATCCCCCTATAATTTTTGCACTCTCTTTTATCCCCTTTGCCTTTATACAAAGGAACTATGCATGCTCTCTGCCAATCCCTAGGTACCTTACCCTCTTCCATACATTTATTAAATAATTGCACCAACCACTCCAAAACTATATCCCCACCTGCTTTTAACATTTCTGTCTTTATCCCATCAATCCCGGCTGCCTTACCCCCCTTTCATTTTACCTACTGCCTCACGAACTTCCCCCACACTCACAACTGGCTCTTCCTCACTCCTACAAGATGTTATTCCTCCTTGCCCTATACACGAAATCACAGCTTCCCTATCTTCATCAACATTTAACAATTCCTCAAAATATTCCCTCCATCTTCCCAATACCTCTAACTCTCCATTTAATAACTCTCCTCTCCTATTTTTAACTGACAAATCCATTTGTTCTCGAGACTTTCTTAACTTATTAATCTCACTCCAAAACTTTTTCTTATTTTCAACAAAATTTGTTGATAACATCTCACCCACTCTCTCATTTGCTCTCTTTTTACATTGCTTCACCACTCTCTTAACCTCTCTCTTTTTCTCCATATACTCTTCCCTCCTTGCATCACTTCTACTTTGTAAAAACTTCTCATATGCTAACTTTTTCTCCCTTACTACTCTCTTCACATCATCATTCCACCAATCGCTCCTCTTCCCTCCCGCACCCACTTTCCTGTAACCACAAACTTCTGCTGAACACACTAACACTACATTTTTTAAACCTACTCCATACCTCTTCGACCCCATTGCCTATGCTCTCATTAGCCCATCTATCCTCCAATAGCTGTTTATATCTTACCCTAACTGCCTCCTCTTTTAGTTTATAAACCTTCACCTCTCTCTTCCCTGATGCTTCTATTCTCCTTGTATCCCATCTACCTTTTACTCTCAGTGTAGCTACAACTAGAAAGTGATCTGATATATCTGTGGCCCCTCTATAAACATGTACATCCTGAAGTCTACTCAACAGTCTTTTATCTACCAATACATAATCCAACAAACTACTGTCATTTTGCCCTACATCATATCTTGTATACTTATTTATCCTCTTTTTCTTAAAATATGTATTACCTATAACTAAACCCCTTTCTATACAGAGTTCAATCAAAGGGCTCCCATTATCATTTACACCTGGCACCCCAAACTTACCTACCACACCCTCTCTAAAAGTTTCTCCTACTTTAGCATTCAGGTCCCCTACCACAATTACTCTCTCACTTGGTTCAAAGGCTCCTATACATTCACTTAACATCTCCCAAAATCTCTCTCTCTCCTCTGCATTCCTCTCTTCTCCAGGTGCATACACGCTTATTATGACCCACTTCTCGCATCCAACCTTTACTTTAATCCACATAATTCTTGAATTTACACATTCATATTCTCTTTTCTCCTTCCATAACTGATCATTCAACATTACTGCTACCCCTTCCTTTGCTCTAACTCTCTCAGATACTCCAGATTTAATCCCATTTATTTTCCCCCACCGAAACTCCCCTACCCCCTTCAGCTTTGTTTCGCTTAGGGCCAGGACATCCAACTTCTTTTCATTCATAACATCAGCAATCATCTGTTTCTTGTCATCCGCACTACATCCACGCACATTTAAGCATCCCAGTTTTATAAAGTTTTTCTTCTTCTCTTTTTTAGTAAATGTCTACAGGAGAAGGGGTTACTAGCCCATTGCTCCCGGCATTTTAGTCGCCTCATACGACACGCATGGCTTACGGAGGAAAGATTCTTTTCCACTTCCCCATGGACAATAGAAGAAATAAAGAGGAACAAGAGCTATTTAGAAAAAGGAGAAAAACCTAGATGTATGTATATATATATGCATGTGCGTGTCTGTGAAGTGTGACCAAAGTGTAAGTAGGAGTAGCAAGATATCCCTGTTATCTAGCGTGTTTATGAGACAGAAAAAGAAACCAGCAATCCTACCATCATGCAAAACAGTTACAGGTTTCTGTTTCACAGTCATCTGGCAGGACGGTAGTACTTCCCTGGGTGGTTGCTGTGTTCCAACCTACTACCTACATGTGTACATTTTATTACTCAGGAATATAGGAGGTAGCCAGTATTTACTCGAGGTTTGTGAATGTCATAGTGGTTTTTCAACCATATTCAGAGAATGTATTTTTGTGCATCACTAACAGTGTAATTTTCACAGTGACTCTGCTGATGCATCTGAAAAGGAAGTGGATGCAGATGATGCTGAGATGAAAGATGTAGAGTTAGAAGACAAAGAGGAGATCAGACAAGAAGAGGGGCAGCAGCTCGAAGAGGAAGAAGGGCAGCAGATCAAGCAGGAAGAGAAGCAGCAGATCAATGAAGAGAAGCAGCAGGTTAAACAGGAGAGGCAACATACCAAGCAAGAGAACAGCAAAACACTGAGTCAGGAAGATGAGGTAATGGAAACACCACAAATACTCCATGTGCCTGTAATGGCCATCAGTTCATGTAGTTCTATTTTATTTTTGTGTTCGTGTGAATTATATTTGTTTTTCAAGACAGATAAAGGTGGTGGTAAGTACAGTTCCTGCACTCTGAAGAAGGGGTGGAGATTTTGTAGGCATAAGCATGCCTACAGGCATGTAGTTAGTATTTGTGGTTATTCAACTACCCTCATATGATAAAGAAAGCATGGGTGGTGAATGTTGCAACAAGGAGAAGGCTGGAGACAGTGGAGATGTAGTGTCTGAGGGCAATGTGTGGTGTGAATATAATGCAGAGAATTTGTAGTTTGGAAATTAGAAGGAGGTGCAAGATTACCAAAGCTATTATCCAGAGGGCTGAGGAGGGGTTGTTGAGGTGGGTCAGACATGTCGAGAGGATGTAACAAAATAGAATGATTTCAAGAGAGTATAAATCTGTAGTGGAGGGAAGGCGGGGTAGAGGTTGGCCTAGGAAAGGTTGGGGGGAGGGGGTAAAGGAGGTTGTGTGTGTGAAGGGCTTGGACTTCTGGCAAACATGCGTAAGTGTGTTAGGAGCAAATGGAGACAGATGGTTTTTAGGACTTGACGTGCTATTGGAGTGTGAGCAGGGTAATATTTATGAAGGGATTCAGAGAAACCGGCAGGCTGGACTTAAGTCCTGGAGATGGGAATTACAGTGTCTGCACTCTGAAGGAAGGGTATTAATGTTGCCGTTTTATAACTAGTATAAGCGTGCTTCTGGCAAGACAGTGATGGAGTGAATGATGGTGAAAATTTTTCTTTTTCAGGCCACCCTACCTTGGTGGGAAATGGCTGATGTGTTAATAAGTAAATAAATAAAAGAAACTTGTTGGTTAGTCATCTAAGACAAGGTTCAACTCGAGCCTTCTAGTCATGACTGGGTGCAGGATCCTAATTCATTTTTTATGTTGCCAAGCTCCAGAAAATCATTATAATTATGATTGTTGGTTTCTTAGCAGGTGAAACACATCAAGTTTGATGACAGCAGTCCCTTCATAGGCTAAAAGTGTTATTTGACTGACTATTCCAGTCTTCATCTTCTTTATCCTAAAAAGTTAGCTCCAACTCTCTCTCTAATCACAAACAGTGATTTCACAGCAGTTGTATGATGGTTAGTGGACTCCTACTAGTCCTATATCAGGTAGTGAGAGCCAGCAATTTTACTCTGTTTCTTCCTCATACTCCGTTACTGTATCACACTTATTGCCCTGTTTCACAGATGTCAGGAACTGTTTTGAGGGAAATTTTTATCTTTCCATACTACCTCATCACTTCCAAACATTAATGTTGTATAGATATATTACTAGATCTGCTAACATATTAAAGTCTAATTTTCTTTCAGAAAATGGGATAGATGTAATAGAGAAGTAGTACTTTTATTTCACACTCCTGGTGCAACTTTGTGCTTTATTTTTTTTTAATTTATTACATTATAAGTTTTTTAAAGATGCTGTAATTACAGTTCTTGACATGCCATTCTTTATGTCTAGTGTGTATGGGATTATTTAATTTGCCAACCCCATTACTGTATCCACGTATTCAAACTTGTGCATACTGGGTGTATACATCTCTGTGCACTGCATACAGTTGTATAAGAAATCCATCTCGACTGCCTTCTAATCCATGGCTTATGCTTGTGTTGTTTCAGGGTCAGGAAGACACCAGTGTCATCATTCCTCGAGCAACTCTGATGTGCCACATGTGTGATATGACTAAATTTCCAAATACTAAGGTAAGTGCTAGCATGTCGCACATTGTGTGAGAAGGTATAATGAAAGAAACATCGTGCATGTGTATATTTTAAGTTAAAGTATAGATGAGAGAGACTTCCTTTGATGAAAATTTGAGATTATTCAAAAGTCAATCTTCTGTGGAATGCAGTGGTGTAGACAGATCTTTTTGTAAAGAATCTTGAAGTCTGTAGCATGCCTATTCTTCATATTTATTTAAAGTGCATTTCATCTAATTACCTGAGATTATATTCCTTTAATATTCAAAGGTTTTCCTGGTTAAAAGAGTTTAGGTAGTGGGTTGGTAGAAGTGAATGTTTTCAGATATTTGGGAGTTGACTTGTCAGCAGATGGGTTTATGAAGGATGAAGTAAACCATTAAATTGATGAAGGTAAAAAGGTGAGTGGTGCATTGAGGTATCTGGAGACAAAGAACGTTATTCATGGAGGCAAAGAAGGTAATGTACGAGAGTATAGTGGTACCAACACTCTTATATGGGTGTGAAGCATGGGTTGTAAATGCTGCAGTGAGGAGGCAGCTAGAGGCATTGAAGATGTCGTGTCTAAGGGCAATGTGTGGTGTAAATATTATGCAGAGAATTCATAGTGTGGAAATTAGGAGGTGTGGAGTTACTAAAAGTATTGGTCAGAGGGCTAAAGAGGGGTTGTTGAGGTGGTTTGGTCATTTAGACAAAATGGAACAAAGTAGAATGACTTGGAGAGTGTATACATCTATTGGGGAAGGAAGGCGGGGTAGGGGTCATCCTCGAAAAGGTTGGAGGGAGGGGGTAAAGGAGATTTTGTGGGCAAGGGGCTTGGACTTCTAGTATGCATGCGTGAGCATGTTAGATAGGAGTGAATGGAGACAAATGGTTTTTGGGACCTGTTGAGCTGTTGGAGTGTGAGCAGGGTAATATTTTGTGAAGGTATTCAGGAAAACCAGTTAGCTGGACTTGAGTCCTGGAAATGGGAAGTACAGTGTCTGCACTTGAAAGGAGGGGTTTAGGATATTGGCAGTTTGGAGGAACATCTAAACTATCATATCTGAGCACCTCTGCAAAGACAGTGATTATGTATAAGTGATGGTGAAAGTGTTGAAAGATGAAAGTTTTTTCTTTTGTTTTTGAGTTTTTCTTTTTGGGTCGCCCTGCCTCGGTGGGAAATGGGCCAACGTGTTAAAAAAAAAAAAAAAGCAATAGCATTTATTATGATTCTGTTAAAAGATTGTAGATTTTATTCAACCATTGTCAAGTTCTTTGTATGAGTTTACCTAGTAAGTTCAGTGGTGGCTAATTTCTTCATTAGCTTCTGACAATTTCATGCAAAAGCTGTATAAACTTCACTTCTCATAGGAGTTCCTTGATGCTTGTGAGGGGATCTTAATGCAAGGAATTGAACCTAATTACCATCGAATCTTCCAGGTGCTGCATGACCCCTACAGGCTCTGTTCTTCCCCAAAATATAATAATATCCTTCCTCCATAAGCCATGTTTGTCGTAAGAGGTGACTACAATGCCGGCAGCAAGGGGCTAGTACTCCTCCTGTATAAATTACTAAATGGAAAAAGAAGTGTTTCTTTATTTGGGTCACCCTACCTCAGTGGAAGATGGACTGCATGTTAAAAAATGTATAATAAAAATAATAGAAGAATAATGTATAAGCTTAAAGCATAAAGTTGTTGTTCCTTGGTGTATCATGTTACATGTTTGAGGGATTTGTCCTCAATACAGTATTTTGCATATTGCAGAAAAATTACCACCAAGATAGCCAGTATGTAGTCAGGTCTGTGACTAGGGTTGTATGTTCGTAGAGTAGTTACATTATGTATTTACATGTGACAGGCATACCTGAGTCATCTGGAAAGCAAAAACCACGAGATGATGGCTCGTACGTTCCACAACCGCAATGGTGCCCTTGTTGATGTGTTGATGGCCGATTCCAGGGTATGTAATTTTTCACCCTTTTGTTGTACTTGTTTGTCTATACTGTGAATGTCATTTTGTTAGGTTAAGCAGTAATGTGCAACTTTTATCAATTCTAAATATAACGTTTTAGTGTAAAAATAAATCTTGGTCAGAAATTTTGCTTAAAATACTGTTTTGAAGAACTAAACTCTTGCCTTCTAATACAGTGTATCAATACTCATTAAGTTCCATTGCAATGCATCACAGTTGGTATGCATGAGGATGCCCAAGAAGAGGTCTGGTTATAGTCACTGCCCAGCATGTCACTTTCCTACGAACACCAGTATCCAGGAGCACTTCCAGACCACCGAACACACGGTCAGTGAGACGCTACCCTCATGAGCTTTGTCTGTAACATACGAATAGTTCAGGTGACGGTGGTGAGGAAAGTTTATATCTTGTATAAGTTAGCCAGAAACTAGGAGTATTATATTGTGTTTATGAATGCTCTTGTTGATAAGTGATTTATTTATTTCTTAGCTGGTGAGTCAATTCTCGAGGGTCAGGTGCTGCAGCAATAGGTACAATCGAATGATCCTGGAGGAACACCGCCTTTCCTTACGTCACCTGAAGGTAAGACTTATTTGCATTGCTTCTAGTGTGGCAGTTTCTATATTGTTTTGTGAATTGTTGGTTATAAACTTTGTGTTTTGTGTTAATTGTTAAAATTTCTATATTGATACACTTGTCAACATAATTTGTATTATCCTTCATTTATATATATTTGTTATGTGTTTTATATTTGGTATATGTGTAATATGTATTTTTTGTTTGTATTAATGTTCAATTAAGTCTGCCTAAAATGCTCTTATGTAACCAGTAGCTTTCTCTAATGTATGGAATAAATGTTTTTTTTTTTTTTTTTTTTTTCAACAAGTCGGCCGTCTCCCACCGAGGCAGGGTGACCCAAAAAAAAAGAAAGAAAATCCCCAAAAAGAAAATACTTTCATCATCATTCAACACTTTCACCACACTCACACATTATCACTGCTTTTGCAGAGGTGCTCAGAATAAATGTACCCTAATTTATAACAATTTTGTATTTTTTAAATTTTTTCTTTTTTTAGTTTTATTCCGTAACTATTTTTTGCAGAGGTAAATCTGATATCAAAAAGTAAAGAATTTGTTAACACATCAGCCATTTCCCAAAAAGAAACATTTACTATGGATTTCATCATAGTTATCTTCCTGAAAGTATATGGAAGTCATGACCCAGTGATGCACCAGATAGTAACATACACACAGTGATGCACCAGATAGTAACAGACACAGTGATGCACCAGATAGTAACATAGACCCAGTGATGCACCAGATAGTAAGATAGACCAGTGATGCACCAGATAGTAACATAGGCCCAGTGATGCACCAGATAGTAACATAGACCCAGTGATGCACCAGATAGTAACATAGACCCAGTGATGCACCAGATTGTAAGATAGACCCAGTGATGCACCAGATAGTAACATAGCCCCAGTGATACACCACATAGTAACATAGACCCAGTGATGCATCAGATAGTAACATAGACCCAGTGATGCACCAGATAGTAACATAGGCCCAGTGATGCACCAGATAGTAACATAGGCCCAGTGATGCACCACATAGTAACATAGACCCAGTGATGCACCACATAGTAACATAGACCCAGTGATGCACCAGATAGTAACATAGACCCAGTGATGCACCAGATAGTAACATAGGCCCAGTGATGCACCAGATAGTAACATAGGCCCAGTGATGCACCATATAGTAAGATAGACCCAGTGATGCACCAGATAGTAACATAGACCCAGTGATGCACCAGATAGTAAGATAGACCAGTGATGCACCAGATAGTAACATAGACCCAGTGATGCCCCAGATAGTAACATAGACCCAGTGATGCACCAGATAGTAACATAGACCCAGTGATGCACCAGATAGTAACATAGACCCAGTGATGCACCAGATAGTAACATAGACCCAGTGATGCACCAGATAGTAACATAGACCCAGTGATGCACCAGATAATAACATAGCCCCAGTGATGCACCAGATAGTAAGATAGACCCAGTGATGCACCACATAGTAACATAGACCCAGTGATGCACCAGATAGTAACATAGACCCAGTGATGCACCAGATAGTAACATAGGCCCAGTGATGCACCAGATAGTGACATAGGCCCAGTGATGCACCAGATAGTAAGATAGACCCAGTGATGCACCACATAGTAACATAGACCCAGTGATGCACCAGATAGTAACATAGACCCAGTGATGCACCAGATAGTAACATAGGCCCAGTGATGCACCAGATAGTAAGATAGACCCAGTGATGCACCAGATAGTAACATAGGCCCAGTGATGCACCAGATAGTAAGATAGACCAGTGATGCACCACATAGTAACATAGACCCAGTGATGCACCACATAGTAACATAGGCCCAGTGATGCACCAGATAGTAACATAGACCCAGTGATGCACCAGATAGTAACATAGACCCAGTGATGCACCAGATAGTAACATAGGCCCAGTGATGCACCAGATAGTAACACAGAGTACTGACTGATACACAAATAACTCGCATGTAGAAGAGAAAAACTCACGACAACATTTCGGTCCAGCTTGAACCATTAACTAGTCACACACTGATTGATATTCTAAAGTGCAAGCTCTTGGGGAGTCTTCGTTTTATCTTTGCACAGAGAAAGCTGTTTGTTGTAGTCAGCCTTGATGCAGTGACTCCCACACAATACAGTACCAGCATCCTGTAATTTTTTTTCATTCCCAAATTCTATAGTTTTTTTCCAAAAAAACTAGTGTCATAGGGGTTCTTAAAGGAGATTTGAGGGTTGAAGGTAGACACACTAGTTGGATGGTAACGATATATATTGTCAGACTGTGATAATGGGAGATGGAGCCCAGCCTGCCGTGTCACTGCCTTGCTGGATGTTATACGCCGACTGAGGCCGAGGTAGCTCGCCTCACACTCAAGCTGTATCCCGTGACATCATACAGTCACAGGCCTAAGGGATCTTCTATATAAAGCACATGGATGATACTATAATGCTCAGCTAATCTATACAACACATGTAAGGGGATTCAGCAACTATGCTGACACTAGAATAGAGTTAGAGATGATATACATTTTTTTTTTGTTTTTCTTTTTTTTTTTTTCCTTTTTTACTATGTCAGGATGATATATGCACAAGGTCAACTGAAACTCTAAGTATACTGTACTGTATACAGTATTTATATATATGCATAAATAATTATGTATACAGTGCAGCAGTACCTGAAACATTTAGTTCAGGAATTTACTGACTTGTTTGATTCCATTTCCTTGAGTGAGTTTTGCAGCCTTTGACTTCTTAGGCTGTACTCTGTCTGCAGTCTTCTTTGTCCTTCCCCAAGCTTCATAACTTTGCACTTGGGATTACACTCCAGGAGCCTGGTAGATATCAATCTGGACAGGCTTGCAGCCTGTCCAGATTGATATCTACCAGGAATATTTGAATATTTGAAGGTCATACATTTGCACTAGATTGGCATTTTTTTGACTGACATTTGTCTTCCCACAGAACCAGTGGGACATAGAGCAGGAGACCCAGAAGAAAATTCAGAAGGAAGAAGAGAAAGAGAGAGAGAGATTAGAAAGTGGTAAGTATAGCTAGAGAAGTGAAGAAAAGATAGATAATGGCCAGAGGAAAGGTCAAGTTCTACAGTGGTATAAACCTTGGTAACTGATACTGACGAATTGGTTTAAAAGACACGTGAGCAAGCACTAGGACATATTTATTTGGAAGGGAGCAAGGGGCTAATAACTCTTCCTATATAAATTACTATATGTAAAAAGAAAAACTTTTGTTTTTCCTTTTAGGTCACCCTGCCTCAGTGGGAGATGGCCAGTGCGTTGAAAAAAAAAAAAATATTCATTAGAAAACGTTTGGGTGCTAGGACCATGATCACTTCATTAAAATGACAGAGTGGGGTGTGAGTGACATTTTTCAGGTCACTATACATAGCTTATGCCCTTCTCTCTGCCTATATATACTGTCTTTTTAATCTCTGTGCATTAGAAATGATCAAGGTCCCAGAATTGAAATGTTTTCTGATAAATATGTCCTAGTGTTTGCTCACATGTCCTTTTAAGCCAAGTACTACAGTATGTGCAGCTAAAATATGTTGTTGGTTTAGCAGTTGTGGATGAATCAGTATCACAGTTAAGACTATAGGACCTTACAGTCATGCAATTGTTTTGTATTCACAACAGATGCATCATTCCACAAAGAGGTTTACAGTCTCAAGACGTCAAACAACTGCGAGGAGGAGCTGACGCCAGCCACTTTACCCCCATATGATCCTGATAAATTTATAGGTAAACTGGACAACATACAAGTTATTTTGCTAAATCAACATACAAGCTTAAAGGTTTAATGCCTAAATGAAAAATTAAGTACAGTTTCTGTTGTACATTAACCCTTTGGGGGTTGGCAGGTCCTCTCAGAGACTTGTTCTCAGGGTCAGCCAAATTTAAAAAAAAAATAAAAAAAATTTTTTCTTATGAAAAGATAGAGAATCTTTTCCCAATCATAATGACACCAAAAGTATGAAATTTGATGGAAAACTTAGGGAAATATGCTCTCGCGAAGTTAGTGGTCTCAGCGATGTTTACGCATCGGCAATTTTGCCCACTTTGAGCCGTATTTTCGGCCAATTCCAGTGTACTAGTCAACAAAAATCATAACGATATTGCTAGAACTCCATTTTTTCTATCGAATGAGTACAAGAAACCACCCATTTACCAATTTCAACTATCCAATACAGTGGTCAGAATTTAGCAATTTTGCCAATTTTACACAAATTTCAAAAGATGCCAATTTCCGAAGAGAGTCCAGAATAAACAAGAAAGACATTCCTGGCACTAAAATAACATTTCCTCTGTTCATTAGTCACGTTCCCACACCCCTCTTACATTCTTTTGCTTTCCACTTTGAATTTTTATTCTCACAAAAAAAAAAAATAGAAGATTTACTGTTATGCAGTCTACTGCATTAGTGTAGAAATGATATAAATAATATCAGCGCACTTGTGAAAGAATATTAGACTCACCAGTTGACGTGTATTGGACGCTTGGCATGATTTGTTTACTTTTGATCTTTGGTAAAAATCGAACATTTCTGCTACTTTGAGCTCAGTTTCGAGGTAATTTTCATTGTAAAACCAGTCAAAATCTTCTTAATTTCTGTAATATGTCTTCCATTCTATAAAATGAGACCAGGAAAACTAGAATACAACAATAAATACCATACGAAAATACAGTGCAAAGTCGCTGTTTTAATCCAAAAACACGGTCAGTTTTTTTTTCTCATTATGCACTGTGTGCTGCATAATTTTTTTTTTATACTGTGCACACTGACCACATAGACCCATTCTTTCATATGTAGGCCTACCAGCTTTCTCTCGCTAGATATGACGGCGCTAGAATTTATGCGTACAGTGGACCCCCGCATAACGATGGCATCACATAGCGATTTTTCCGCATACCGATTACTTTTATCGCAAAATTTTTGCCGCGCATACCGATTAAAAACCCGCTTACCGATTTTCGTCCGAGACGCGTCCAATGTGCCCTCACATGTGCCGGCCGTCCCATTGTTTACCAGCCAGCCTCCGCGGTAACATCCAAGCATACACTCGGAATATTTCGTATTATTACAGTGTTTTCGGTGCTGTTTCTGGAAAATAAGTGACCATGGGCCCCAAGAAAGCTTCTAGTGCCAACCCTGTGGTAAAAAGGGTGAGAATTAGTATGGAAATTAAGAAAGATTTTGAAGGGTTTGGGGCTAACCCTGAGAAGCCTATGCCAGTTGTGGAATCCATTGTGCCTACTTCAAAGATTAAGGAAATGTGTGCACAGTGGGTTGAACTGCAAACCTTTATAGATGAAAATCACCCTGACACAGCTGTTGCAAGCCGTGCTGGTGACTATTTCAATGACAATGTTATGGCCCATTTTAGGAAAGTCTTGAAGGAACGGGAGGTACAGAGCTCTATGGACAGATTTGTTGTGCGACAGAGGTCCAGTGACTCTCAAGCTGGTCCTAGTGGCATTAAAAGAAGAAGGGAAGTAACCCCAGAAAAGGACTTGCTACCTCAAGTCCTAATGGAAGGGGATTCCCCTTCTAAACAGTAAGAAGATAATACTCTCCCCTCCTCCCATCCCATCAATCATCACCAGATCTTCAATAAAAGTAAGTGTCATGTAATTGTGCATGCCTTTTTCAGTTTGTGTGTATTAAAATTAACATTTCATGTGGTAAAAAAAATTTTTTTTCATACTTTTGGGCATCTTGCACGGATTAATTTTATTTCCATTATTTCTTATGGGGAAAATTCATTCGCATAACGATTATTTCGCATAACGATGAGCCCTCTTGCACGGATTAAAATCGTTAACCGGGGGTCCACTGTACTAGTATGTCAAAAACCCCTGCTCGTAAGCCGTACTAGTACGCCTGAAACCCCGAAAGGGTTAATATTATATCTGTGGGTTTACAGCAGTTCAACTACATCAGTTTGTATTACTGTATGTCTTTATCATTTGCAATAATGATAAGGAAAGCTATGCAATGCACATGAATCTCCTATGTTTTCTCTTGTTTAAACATCATAATACAGTATGTGTTTGGGCCATTTCTTATATTTTTACATATTAGTGTAATTAATACAGCATGTTGATGAGGGTAATGAAAGATTGGATATCAGATTGGAAGGAGGAAGTGAAAGTGTTCAGATATATGGGAAGGGACTTTTTGGCAGATGGGTCTGCAAAAGATGGGGGTGAGCCATAGAATTGATGGGGGTTGGAGAAGGTGGGTGGTGCATTGAGGGATCTGTGGAGGCAACGAATATTGTACTTGGATGCAAAAAGGGAAGTGTATGAGAGTATCATGGTACCAACACACTTATATGGGTGTGAAGCTTGGGTTGTGAATGTTGCAGAAAGGAGGAGGCTGGAGGCGTAGAGATGTCATGTCTGAGGGCAATGTGTGATGTAAACATTATGCAGAGAATTCATAGTTTGGAGATTAGGAGGCACAGGGTTTCTAAAAGTATTATCCAGAGGCTTTTGAGGTGGTTCGGACACTCGGGATGGAAGAAAATAGGATGACTTGGAGAAAGTATAAATCTGTAATGGAAGGAAGGTGGGGTAGGGGTTGGCCTAGGAATGGTTGTGGGAATGGGCTAAAGGAGGTTCTGTGTGCAAGGGACTTGGACTTCCAGCAAGTGTGCATAAACATATAGGTAGGAGCGAGTGGAGGCAAATAGTTTTTATGTGCTGTCGGAGTAAGCAATGGAACATTTATGAAATGATTCAAGGAAATCAGTTAATCAAACTTGTCTTGGAGGTGTTAAGTACAGTGCCTGCAATCTGAAGGAGCAGTGAAGATATACAGTGGAACCTCAAATATTGAACTTTCTTCGGTCCAGAAGTCTGTTCAAGTGCCTTTACCGAACGAATTTATTCCCATCAGGAATAATGTAAATTAGATTAGTCCATTTCAGACCCTTAAAAATGCACTTATAAAAGCACTTACAAAAATACACTTACATAATTGGTTGTGTTGGGAGCAGTTCGATTTTTGAGGTTCCACTGTATTGCAGTTTTTGTACTGTAGTTTTGGCATGCCTCTGGCAAGACAGTGATGGAGTGAGTGATGATGAAAGTGTTTGTTTCTTCTTTTTTGGGTCACCTCATCTCTATGGGTAATGGCCAGTGTGTTAAATTACTTCCCATTGTTTTCTCTTCAAAAAAAAAAAAAAAAAAATTCTAAAATCAACTTATTTTGTGTATACATCTTTCTTTACATATTTTCTCACCATCTAAATGATTTTTCAGGTTTGAACTATCTTTACAAAGAAAAACTGTATCGCTGTGATCTGTGCCGAAGCGAATTACGAAATCCCAAGCACACAGAGTACCACTTCCGCTCTATTGATCACTACTACAACCTGTGTCGACATCTCACCGAAGAGGAGGTGCGTACTTTGTATGGTGTACTCATGAAGATAAAGAATTTCAATACTGTTCAATAATAATATACACCTACCATCCGACTTACGACCTGCTCGACTTACGACCACTCGACTTACGACCGTGTTTTTTATGCCAAATTTTTGGGAAATAAACAACTATTTGTGTTGTACACAGTGTTTATCCTAAACCTTACAGTATAAAATACAGTACTAACAACATAAAAAGTAAAGTAAAACATGAAATACCAAAATAAAACAATAAAATAAAGTCATTACAAAAATGTTTTGTTGATATTCAGTAGTAAAGTGCGACTTACGACCATTTCGACTTACGACCGGTTTCTCGGAACCGAACTCGGTCGTAAGTCGGATGGTAGGTGTATGTGCATATAGACAAGACAGTGATAGTGTGAATGGTGGTTGTGAAAGTGTTTCTTTTTCGTGTCGCCCTACCGAGGTAGGGTGACACGAAAAAGAAACACTCATTCAGGCAATAATGTAAATTTTACTTAGAATTTGTATTTTCATTTTAAGGAAAAGAAAGAACTGGAAAGAAAGAAATTAGAAGTAACTAACAAGGAGCAAGAAGAATTGAAGACCAGAGAAAATAATGGTGACGAAAATGATAGCTGTGAGGACATGAACAACATGGAGACTGTGGACGAGGCTCTGGAAGATGCTGACATGGATGCTCAAGCTGGTGGTTCCCATGCACAAGTCTCTGCTGATGACAAAAATGTATATGGTGATGCTGTGTTATGAAATATCAATGTGTAATTTTGAGTCTGTTAGTGTCTCTTGAAAGTAGCTTACTTCATACCTCTTGACTTTAAATCGTAATAACACGATAGCAAACAAATCATGGAATGTACTGGCCTGTGAGTTTTAAGATTCACTTGCCATGGGTTCAAATCCCACCTGTTCCATGATCTGTACCTGTTAATATAGAAATCCTAGGCAGTTAGGATGTTAAATAATAGTTTCTTAACTATAAAACATATTCTCAGCTGTGTTCCACAGGATGGTGGTATTGACGTGTGTATCCTTGTTGCAGTGTTGTATTTTCCTAGCCTAAGAGTCAATCCACTTTTAGTAGCTAAAATAAGAGCCCATAAATAACAGCTAAAATAGCTCAATATTGAAATTTTGCATTGAGAAAAACAAATTTGTGTTTGCCACGTGCTGGAGTGTTGATTGTGGCCACACACCAATATCCAACACTAATTCTGTTTATATTAATGTTCATTTAAAGACGATTAATAACGAGTGTAAGTATTTCATAAGTAATACTGTAGTGTACTTATCTGATGGATCTGTGTCTGTTCGAAAGTGACGATCCATGCACTTGGGTAAGGCTAGTGAGCTGTGCACTTGGGTAAGGCTGGTGATCTGTGCACTTGTGTAAGGCTGGTGATCTGTGCACTTGGGTAAGGCTAGTGAGCTGTGCACTTGGGTAAGGCTGGTGATCTGTGCACATGGGTAAGGCTGGACTTAGGCAGGGACTTAGGCGGGGGTATTTGGGTGCCAGGATACAAAGTGTAGTAGCAACAAAGCCATGTTTTAATTTGCATTTGTGGACTGTAAATGTATTGTAATAATCTTTGTCTGTTTTAGGAAGGTGCTTCATCATCAGCAGACACTACTAGAGGCTTGGAGAGAAGTTCAGATAATCAAAAGCAGTTGCAGCAGGAGAATGAAGAGGAGCAGTGTGCAGGAAGTGGAAACAATCAGGAGGAAGCAGATGATGGAGAAGACATGGTTCTTCATACAAAAACTGATGTGTGAGCTATTTTAAAAAGTTAAATGGAATATTGTAATGTTATTTACAACTTGGTCTTCATTGACAGCTCTATTTATAATTTTGTGTATCTCTTAACAGAGGTGATGATGAAGAGGTCATGGATGAAGAAGGTTTGGACTATGAACCTGGTGTTGGAGTCTAGTAGGAGGATACCATTAAGGCTGAAGGTTTAGACTGTGAACAAGGAGTCAGAATCTAGTAGGAGGGTACTAGTGGAACTTGATGAAATGATTGTCTTCAACAGTGAGAGAGAGCCATGCAGTGTTCTTATATCTTCCTTCATCATTGTCTAGATTGTGCTGCAATGCACTGCTGTTCTTAACAACAAGCACCATTGTATATTTTACTCAAACTTGAACCTTTCCTAACTGAACTGGGTATAATAAATGCAATAACCTATCATACATTGATAAATTAGAGAGAGAGAGAGAGATGGCTTTTTTTGTGAAGGCTTTGGACAATAGTGTTAGTATAGCATGTCATAGATTTTTCCCTTCTTAGCAGGCCCAGCATCCATTATGAGTTACCTTCTCAACTACAACATCTCTTGAGACAACTCAGTGACTTCACAAACCTGAGTGAATTTAAATTGTGTTGAATTTTTCAGCTGGTAAAGTTTTCTGCAGTGTGAGTCTTAAGAAATGCTGTATTAACATCTCATCAGTGAAATTTAGTGAATTTATTTATTTTATAATTTTACTAGAAGAATATATGCTTATTTTAATTTTGTTATGAATGTGATTTATAAAATCATGTGTAAGTGATTTTGTTAATCCAGGCAGTTAATTACAAAAGTTAATTTTTATTGATTTTTATTTTTCAGCAGAATGCATTTTTGTTTACTAAGCGGAAGATGAAAAACCTCGTATAGCCGTACTTCCATATTTGTTTAGAATTCAATGTATATTTTCTCTTTGTGAAATTTTCATGATTATCCATAACTAAGCACCACCTTTGATTCACGATACTGTATGTGGATGCTCATAAAGTGTTTTCACCTTTCCTATCTTCATTATTATTTTCTCTCTTGTGTGGAACGAACGGTAATTATTGTGTCAGAGGGCATCATTTGTTCTCTTATATGATGTGGAACAAATAGTAATTATGTTTGAGGAACATTATCTTGCACTCAGTGGTAAATTCTGTAGCACAGATATCCACATAAGAGTACAAAGATGTTTCCTTCACTGTTACTTGTAAGTACAGTACTGTGAAAGTCTTAGAACTTAATACAATTTAATCCGAATAACAAAGAATGAGTGTTAATATTTTCAGTTCAAGATGAATGCAGGCCAAATATGTATTTAAAAATTAAAAGTGAATGACAGGTGCACAAAGCTCCAAAAGAAATCAAAATATTTTATCCTAAGTAAAACTGTCCATGTATCTTAGGTTGACATCAGTAATGTTGTCTCTTGCAGCTTTAATAGGAGAGCAGCCTCTAGAATACGTAAGCCTATTTAGTGTGGGGCTATAGTCTGACTGTGTCACCCAACAATAACCCCACTATGATCAAGTCGCTGCGTGGAATGCAACTTTCAACTCTTGATATTACCATGTAGCCATTGAAAGAAATCCAGTAGTATCCTCAGTCATAAGGATAACAATATAGGTGTTTTGCTTTATTTAGTAGATGTGTTTCAGGCCCATGGCAGCTGTTTTGCACTCGGTCAGGTCATCAACACTTAATTCCGCATAATAAGAATCTACGTATATGTTTTGTGACCCCACACTGATTGCATAAGGCAAATGTGCATCACACACAAGGAACTGCCTATAGTAATAGAACATCACATATAGCGAATACACATAAAGTAATGAAACCTGCATGTTTAACATGCTTGAGACAGTAATCTTGAATTTTAATGTAAAGTGTTTCAAAAGGATAGGAAGCTAGTTCATGAAAGGAGATTATAATCAATCTATTTTGCAAAATCTTGAAATAAATGTGGGGCAAAACCCAAGTCACTGTTCTCTACATGTGTGGATATGTAAATCTAAATGGTTAGATTGTCACCACTTTTTTTTTTATTATGTTTTAGAAATGCTAATGATTGTGCTTCCTGCTCAACGTATGTTAGTTCTGTGATTGAAATATAAATCTTGTCATTTTCCAATAAAATTCAGGGGACCTTTTGAACCAAACATATTAAATATGCACTGAAAATATATGGACAACAGTAGCTGGGGAGTATACTACGTATACAGTATTTAATAAAGAATTTTTGAAAGTAAGGATGTTGATTCTAAAGGTTTTTGTTTCAGCTAAATATTCCCTTATTTTATGTAATAAATGTTTATCATATATCACAGAATAGTAAAGATTGCAACATATACTGTCAACTACTGAAGACTTAAGACTCATTACATGTTCTGATGTTCCTATTGTATTTAGTATTTTTGTCAGTGATTTGCTTCATTTTTCTGAAGTGCACAAGTTATTTTTGCTGTCAAGACCCCATAGTTGACATTATATTCATAGTTGACATTATATTCATGGGGAAACGCTAAGCCTATTAAGTTTATGCAGCTCCTGGGGAATGGAGGTAATCAATTTGATGTGAGGAATGGGAAGGCAGCTCCCATTCCATAGATCAAGAACCCTTCACTAGCATCAAGGTGCCTCTAAATAGTAGTTGACAGAGTTCATGTTTTACCATATCTTAATTTTCATGTGTAAATCAGTTATGAGAAAGCTTAGCATCACAGCCAAAGGTGATTATCAGTTGTAAGAAACCGAACATCACAGCTGGCAGGAGATCTGGCTAGTAAATGTACGATCACGTACATTGAAAATTTTTTCCAGGCAGATTTGTATTTGTTATGTTTCAACTCGAGGATTGTGATAGTTAACCCTTGTGCCTAGATGTAAACAGGAATCTCACTGGTTGCTGTACATAATTAAGCTGCAGCAATGACACTTGAAGACTATGCTTGTTATAACTTATAACTGTCTTCTGCAAACGTGGGTTTAGCAAGTGTCGTTGAATGTGGTACTGTAATTTATTATAAGTGATCGAGGTCTTTTTTAAATTTACTCATTTTCTGAACTCCTTTTATGAAAAATAAATAAGACAAATTTTCATCTTTTATCATACCCTTGATTATCATGTGAAAGTTGGTAAGAATTAATAAACAAAGTCAATGCAGGCTGGCACATCTGAAAAGGTATTCTAATAGATTTGAAACTGATAAACATTAGATGGGATGGAGCTGTATAGTCCTTGTGGCTTAGCACTTCTTTTTTGATTATAATAATTAGATGGGATGGAGTCATCAGGTGTACTCTTTCTGGGCAGCCACATTTTTTGTAGTGGGGAAATGAGCTTCTGCAGATGCCATAGACACCAGGTTGGGCTTCCCAAGCCCCAGAAAAGGTCCCCAGGCTGCCAAAAAGGTCTCCAGGCCCCAGGAAAGGTCCTCAGGCCCCAAAAAGGTCCCCAGGCCCCAGAAAAGGTCCCCAGGCCCCAGAAAAGATCCCCAGGCCCTGAAAAGGTCCCGAGGCCCCTGAAAAGGCCCCCAGGCCCCAGAAAAGGTCCCCAGGCCCTAAAAAGGTCCCCAGGCCATGAAAAGGTCCCCAGGCTGCTGAAAAGATCCCAGGCCCCAGTAAAGGTCCCCAGGCCCCAGAAAAGGTCTCCAGGCCCCAAAAAGGTCCCCAGGCCGCCAAAAAGGTCCCCAGGCCACAGAAAAGGTTCCCAGGCCGCCAAAAAGGCCTCCAGGCCCCCCAAAAGGTCCCCAGGCCCCAGAAAAGGTACCAAGGCCTCTGAAAAGGTGCCCAGGCCCCAGAAAAGGTCCTCAGCCCCCCTAAAAGGTCCCCAGGCCCCAAAAAAGTCCCAAGGCCTCTGAAAAGGTTACCAGGCCCCTAAAAGGTCCCCAGGCCCCGAAAAAGTCCCAAGGCCTCTGAAAAGGTTACCAGGCCCCTAAAAGGTCCCCAGGCCCCAGAAAAGGTTCCCAGGCCGCAGAAAAGGTTCCCTGGCTGCCGAAAAGGTCCGCAGGCCCCAGAAAAGGTCCCCGGGCCCCAGAAAAGGCCCCCAGGCCCCAGAAAAGATCCCCAGGCCCCAGAAAAGGTCCACAGGCCCCAAGAAGGTCCCCAGGCCCCCAAAAAGGTCCCCAGGCCCCAGAAAAGGTCCCCAGGCCCCGAAAAGGTCCACAGGCCTCGAAAAAGTCCCCAGGCCCCAGAAAAGGTCCCCAGGCCCCAGAAAAAGTCCCCAGGCCCCAGAAAAGGTCCCCAGGCCCCAAAGAAGGTCCCCAGGCCCCAGAAAAGGCCCACAGGCCCCAGAAAAGATCCCCAGGCCCCAGAAAAGGTCCACAGGCCCCAGAAAAGGTCCACAAGCCCCAAAAAGGTCCCCAGGCCCCCGAAAAGGTACCCAGGCCCCAGAAAAGGTCTCCAGGCCCCGAAAAGGTCCCCAGGCCTCGGAAAAGTCCCAAAGCCTCCGAAAAGGTCCCCAGGTCCCAGAAAAGGTCCCCAGGCCCCAGAAAAAGTCCCAAGGCTCCAGAAAAGGTTCCTCCGGGTTTAGCGCTTCCCCTTGATTATAATAATAATCCAGAAAAGGTCCCCAGGCCCCAGAAAAGGCCCCCAGGCCCCAGAAAAGATCCCCAGGCCCCAGAAAAGGTCCACAGGCCCCAGAAAAGGTCCACAGGCCCCAAAAAGGTCCCCAGGCCCCAGAAAAGGTCCCCAGGCCCCGAAAAGGTCCATAGGCCCCGAAAAAGTTCCAAAGCCTCCGAAAAGATCCTCAGGCCCCAGAAAAGGTCCCCAGGCCGCAGAAAAAGACCCCAGGCCCCAGAAAAGGTCCCCAGGCCCCAAAGAAGGTCCCCAGACCCCAGAAAAGGCCTACAGGCCCCAGAAAAGATCCTCACGCCCCTGAAAAGGTCCACAGGCCCCAGAAAAGGTCCACAGGCCCCAAAAAGGTCCCCAAGCTCCCGAAAAGGTCCCCAGGCTTCAGAAAAGGTCCCCAGGCCCCGAAAAGGTCCCCAGGCCTCGAAAAAGTCCCAAAGTCTCCGAAAAGGTCCCCAGGCCCCAGAAAAGGTCCCCAGGCCCCAGAAAAAGTCCCCAGGCCCCAGAAAAGGTCTCCAGGCTCCAGAAAAAGTCCCCAGACCTCAAAAGAAGGTTCCCAGGCCTCAAAAAAATCCCCAGGCCCCCAAAAAGGTCTAAAGGCATCAGAAAAGATCCCCAGGTCCTAAAAAGGTCCAGAGGCCCCCGAAAAGGTCCCCAGGCCCCAGGAAAGGTCCCCAGGCCGCCGAAAAGGTCCCCAGGCCGCCGAAAAGGTCCCCAGGTCCCCGAGAAGGTCCCCAGGCACCAGAAAAGGTCCCCAGGCCCCAGAAAAATTCCTCAGGCCCCGAACAGGTCCCCAGGCCACGAAAAGGTCCCCAGCCACCGAAAAGGTCCCCAGGCCGCCGAAAAGGTCCCCAGGTCGCCGAAAAGGTTCCAAGGCCCCAGAAAAGGTCCCCAAACCCAAGAAAAGGTCCCCAGGCCCCAGGAAATCTCCCCAGGTCCCGAAAAGGTCCCCAGGCTGCCGAAAAGGTCCCCAGGCTCCAGAAAAGGTCCCCAGGCACCAGAAAAGGTCCCCAGGCCCAAGAAAAGATCCCCAGGCCCTAAAAAGGTCCCCAGGCCACGAAAAGGTCCCCAGGCTGCCGAAAAGATCCCCAGGCCCCAGTAAAGGTCCCCAGGCCCCAGAAAAGGTCACCAGGCCCCGAAAAAGTCCCCAGGCCCCGTAAAGGTCCCCAAACCGCCAAAAAGGTCCCCAGGCCACAGAAAAGGTTCCCTGGCCGCAGAAAAGGTCTCCTGGCCGCCGAAAAGGTCCCCAGGCCCCCTAAAAGGTCCCCAGGCCCCAGAAAAGGTCCCCAGACCCCAGAAAAGATCCCCAGGCCCCAGAAAAGGTCTCCAGGCAACAGAAAAGGTCCACAGGCCCCAAAAAGGTCCCCAGCCCCCCGAAAGGTCCCCAGGCCACAGAAAAGGTCCCCAGGCCCCAGAAAAGGTCCAAAGGCCTTGAAAAGGTCCCCAGGCCCCTAAAAAGTCCCAAGGTTTCCAAAAAGATCCCCAGGCCCCAGAAAAGGTCCACAACCCCCAAAGAAGGTTCCCAGACCGCCGAAAAAGTCCCCAGGCCCCAGAAAAGTTTCCCAGGCCGTATAAAAGGTCCCCTGGCCGCCGAAAAGGTCTGCAGGCCCACTAAAAGGTCCCCAGGCCCCAGAAAAGGCCCCCAGGCCCCAGAAAAGATCCCCAGGCCCCAGAAAAGGTCCACAGGACCCACAAAAAAGCCACAGGCCTCAAAAAGATCCCCAGGCCCCCGAAAAGGTCCCCAGGCAGCAGAAAAGGTCCCCAGGCCCCAGAAAAGATCCCCAGGCCCCAGAAAAGATCCCCAGGCCTTAGAAAAGGTCCACAGGCCCCGAAAAGGTCCTCAAGCCCCCGAAAAGATCCACAGGCCCCAGAAAAGGTCCCCAGGTTCCAGAAAAGGTCCCCAGGCCCTGAAAAGACCCCCAGGCTCCGAAAAAGTCCCAAGGCCTCCGAAAAGGTCCCCAGGCTCTAGAAAAGGTCCCCAGGCCCCAGAAAAGGTCCCCAGGCTCTGAAAAGGTCCCCATGCTTAGAAAAAGTCTCAAGGCCTCCGAAAAGGTCCCCAGGCCCCAAAAAAGGTCCCCAGGCCAAGGAAAAGGTCCACAGGTCCCAAAGAAGGTCCCCAGGCCGCCGAAAGGTCCCCAGGCCCCAGAAAAGGTTCCCAGGCCGCAGAAAAGGTCCCCTGGCAGCCGAAAAGGTCCGCAGGCCCCCTAAAAGGTCCCCAGGCCTCAGAAAAGGCCCCCAGGTCCCGGAAAAAATCCTCAGGCCCCAGAAAAGGTCCACAAGCCCCAGAAAAGGTCCACAGGCCCCAAAAAGATACCCAGGCCCTCGAAAAGGCCCCCAGGTCCCGGAAAAAATCCCCAGGCCTCAGAAAAGGTCCACAAGCCCCAGAAAAGGTCCACAGGCCCCAAAAAGATCCCCAGGCCCTCGAAAGGTCCCCAGGCCACAGAAAAGGTCCCCAGGCCCCAGAAAAGGTCCAAAGGCCTTGAAAAGGTTCCCAGGCCCCAAAAAAGTCCCAAGGTTTCCAAAAAGATCCCCAGGCCCCAGAAAAGGTCCACAACCCCCAAAGAAGGTTCCCAGACCCCCGAAAAAGTCCCCAGGCCCCAGAAAAGTTTCCCAGGCCGTATAAAAGGTCCCCTGGCGGCCGAAAAGGTCTGCAGGCCCACTAAAAGGTCCCCAGGCCCCAGAAAAGGCCCCCAGGCCCCAGAAAAGATCCCAAGGCGCCAGAAAAGGTCCCCAGGCCCCAGAAAAGGCCCTCAGGCTTCAGAAAAGATCCCCAGGCCCCAGAAAAGGTCCACAGGCCCAAGAAAAGGTCCACAGGCTTCGAAAAGGTCCCCAGGCCCCCGAAAAGGTCCCCAGGCCCCCCAAAAAAGTCCCTAGGCCCCGAAAAGGTCCATAGGCCCCGAAAAAGTTCCAAAGCCTCCAAAAAGGTCCTCAGGCCCCAGAAAAGGTCCCCAGGCCGCAGAAAAAGACCCGAGGCCCCTGAAAAGGTCCCCAGGCCCCAGAGAAGGTCCCCAGGCCCCAGAAAAGGCCCACAGGCCCCAGAAAAGATCCCCACGCTCCAGAAAAGGTCCACAGGCCCCAGAAAAGGTCCCCAGGCCACGAAAAGGTCCCCAGGCTGCCGAAAAGGTCCCCAGGCCCCAGAAAAAGTCACCAGGCCCCGAAAAGGTCCCCAGGCCTTGAAAAGGTCCCCAAACCGCCAAAAAGGTCCCCAGGCCTCAGAAAAGGTTCCCTGACCGCAGAAAAGGTCTCCTGGCCGCCGAAAAGGTCCCCAGGCCCCCTAAAAGGTCCCCAGGCTCCAGAAATGGTCCCCAGGCCACAGAAAAGATCCCCAGGCCCCAGAAAAGGTCCCCAGGCAACAGAAAAGGTCCACAGGCCCCAAAAAGATCCCCAGGCCCCCGAAAGGTCCCCAGGCCACAGAAAAGGTCCCCAGGCACCAGAAAAGGTCCAAAGGCCTTGAAAAGATCCCCAAGGCCCGCAAAAAGTCCCAAGGTTTCCCAAAAGGTTCAGAGGCCCCAGAAAAGGTCCCCAGTC